AGGGCGGCCTCGTCCACGTTCTTGTGCGACGCGACGTTGATGATGACCGTGCCCTCCGAGACCCACTCCAGTGGCAGCTTGTACGACGCGACAGGCACGCCCGTGATGATCACATGCGACTTCTTGGCAGCTTCGGCCGGCGTTTCGCTGCACTCGATGAGCTTGCCGCGGCGGAAGAGGTAGAGCGAGTTGATGTCGACCGAGCCCTCCGAGACCCACTCCAGTGGCAGCTTGTACGACGCGACAGGCACGCCCGTGATAATCACATGCGACTTCTTGGCAGCTTCGGCCGGCGTTTCGCTGCACTCGATGAGCTTGCCGCGGCGGAAGAGGTAGAGCGAGTTGATGTCGACCGAGTAGACGTCGGCGCCGTCGTTGGCAAGCATGGCCGCGAGCGGGCGGCCCACAATGTCGCTGCGGTTGATGATCGTGATGCGCTTGCCGAGCAAGTGCTCGCCCTCAGGCTGGCCAAAGTTGTACACGTTGAGGTGCTCGAGGATCTTGACGATGGCAAGCGGCGTGCAGGGCAGGACGCACTTTTGCGTGCGATCGTCGTCCACGTAGCGGATGTTGCGATAGAGGTTGCCGCGGTAGTACTGGCACAGGCCCTCGACATCCTTCTTGATCGAGATCGAGTCCCGAATAAAATCGTCCATCGTGCCGCCGTAGAAGCTCGGAAACGTGCCAAAGCACGGGTAGTAGACGAGGATACCATGCACTTCCGGGTCACGGTTGGCATCCTCGACAGCTTCTTGGAGCCGTTCCTTGGGCACTTCGCGAAGCTCGTACCGGATGCCATCGCGGACGCACGCCTTGCCCGTCCACTCAGCGTACTTGCGAGCCGACTCGTCGTCGTTGGCGAGGAAGCCGACGAGCTTGGGGCCGATGCCGCGGAGCTCCGTGCGGACGTACTCCTTCATGGCGGCCGAGAACGGCGCGGCGACCTCCGTCGCATTGATCTTGACTGCGGGATGGCTCATGCTGGTGGCGGGGATTGTGGAAGATGGAAAATGATCTTCGCCCGCCGCCCGCGAAAACCGAAGCGTAAACAAACGATGTTCCAAAGGATGCGTTAGCCAATCAGCGCGCATGATTTCGTATCCTTTCGCTCAAGCGCTGCGTATTGCGCTGTGGAAAGCTGCTTGGCTGATAAATACAGCGCGTTGGCGGCCTTCTGCTCAAATGGAGCGCCATCGACGACGCTCTACAAAGATAAGCTGAATGAGTGGCTTGTTTTGAAGTCTACCATGTGTGCATTGATACTGTAGTGTACGATACTGATTTGCAGGCAGAGACTGAAGTTGGTTGTTGCGTCATCATTGAACCGCCGCCTCGCATGATGCGCTGTGAACAGTACAGCGCACGTCCTCAACTGGTACGACAGAAACAGTGTGGGCTGCTCAACTGGTGCCAACGCAATTGCTGACGACAATACGTAGGGTAGCCAAGCCACGCTGAAGGTTGCCACCATCTACAAGCGCTTTGCTCGCTTTGCATGTTGTTGTTCGTTGTGCGGAGCCAATCACGGCACGTGCCTGCGCGGCAAACCAATGGCCCGTTGAAAACCTCCAAGAACACGTACCCGTGACACTATATCACATGCCCTAAAGTTAATATATCAAACTTGACAAGTTTCTGCCGCAGTAAGCCAATCCGGGCCAAGCAGGACGTATTTTAATTCCAAGTCGAATAGAAATTAAATTCGATCCTGTGTTCTCTCTTCAACTGAAAGTTCCCAAAAGCCTCAAAATTAAAATCGATGGATTGGAATAAAACGCAAATAATAATTTGATCTTGGCGTTCGTGAATAAAAAACGCGCTGTGATTGGCTGCTTGGAATTTGGCACAATTATTGGTGGAGAGGAGACTGGTTGGCTGGCTGCGAAGTTGGCCACGGCCTTCCGGAGCTTAATTTGGGTTTGCATTTCCTCAAGACAAGAAACTAAGGTAAGGAGACATGCTCCATGAACATGCAGGGCCGACGACATGGACGACGCTTCTGGGCAGGAGTATGGGCACGGCCTCCTCCTGATATACAGTGGAGCGCCTCCGGCCTCGGAAGCGGCGCCACAAGCAGGCTTCGCAACTTATAGGACGTGGATCATTGACGCACGATGCTCCCGTAGATGAGCAACGACACCTTGACCTGGTTGTTGACCAAGAACAACAACGCCTTCCTCGTGAAGGGTGTCCAGCCCAACTCGGACTTCTCGCGTGCCTCGTTCAACTTGTTGAACCGCCACTGCCGCAAGTACGATGCCCTCTCGGCCAACAAGGCCGTCGGCATCACGCTCAAGGACAAGAAGATTGTCTTGACGACGAAGATCGCCAAGGCCGTCAAGACCCCTGCCAAGGCCACCCACTCGGTGCCGCTCAACAAGGGTTTCCGCGCCAACGCCCACACGATCCGCGCCGAAATCTCGCGCAACTTCTACCGTGGTGACCTCAAGCGCGCCGCCCTCGCTCGCTGGACGCAGCTCAACCGCGTCGCCAAGATCGAGAAGGGTGTGCTCAAGAAGTCGGTCATCAAGACCAAGCGCAACCAGTTCAAGGCGTAAACACACTGCTATTGTGATCAACTCGAAATGCAGGAATGTTTATTGGGTCAAGCCCGTCGACCTCGCCATGGCCGGTGTGTTTGCCTAACAAGGAATGCAAGTCTAGGAATTCTTTTGTCTTGTCCTTATTGCGACTGCCTTTGTCCTTACAAGTAATCGAGCAAGGCGGACGCGGTGGCTCGATCAATAAAGAGTTGCAGAAGGCATTGCAACACCAGCTGGGATATCGAGGCTTACTCGCACTATTTTTACTCACAAGGTGGCCCCCTCGCTGATTCGCTGTTGGTTGATTTCGGCTAGACCACTTTCGTCGTACCGAGCGGGGTTGTTGACTGGTGCGTCTTGTACCGTAGCGCTGGGACAGAAGCACTTCTGTGGATGCAAGACGACGGCAGACTGCTCGTCATATTAGCTTCATGCTTCATCGTGACTGTACACGTCGAATTTTTTCCCCTCGTATGCGAACCTGACGTCCAAGAGTCCAAGAGGTGCATACTCCCGTACCCTTGGCAAGTTTGCTCGTCGGTGTACACACGGAAGAAACTGGCATGGACGTACTATAGATTGAGGTGTCTTAAACAACCGCCATGACCTGAAATGCGTGTGCATTGAAGCGGCCCAACAGCTCGTTCTTGGCTGCTTGAAGTCCCGCGGCGACCTGCGCGTCGAAGCACACAAAGGCGATTGTCGCGCGCCATCGATGCGTCTTGACAAAGTCGCGGTACGCACGCAGTGCGAGAGTCGTTGCCGTCTGCAGCGGGAACCCAAGCGTGCCCGTCGAAATGGACGCGACAGCGATGCACGAGACGCCGAGGCGGCGGCAGTGCTCAAACGCGTTCAGATACGTGTGGTACAAGAGAGGATTGCAGTCAAACCGGTGGTGCGACGGACCGACGCAGTGCACGAGGTGCTCGACGCCGGCAGCGAACCCTGGTGTCACGACGGCAGTCGATTCGCGGGCATTCATGCGCAAGCTGGCAACGTGCGCGTCAAGCGCGGGGCCCGCGCGCCGAAACACAGCAGCAGCAGCGCCAGTGCCCGCGTTCTGAAGCGATGCATTCGTCGGGAACACGAGGCAGTCGACGGGCTGACCGTTGACGTCTGTGATCGTTTCAATGTTTCCTTGGACGATGCGCGCACGTTGCAAGATGCCCCACTCGACAGCCGTCTCGCAAAACTCTATGCACGCAGAGGACGGGACAAAGCCCGGCGCGGGGACGGGGACACTTCCGATAGGGCACGGGCTCGCAGCGGGAAAGTGGCGGCGATAGCCAAAGCTAGCAGTCACGAGGCTCGCCCAGACGTCGACGTCCTCGGCGACCGCTCGAGTGCCAACGTTACTGAGCACAACGGAGCTCAGTCGCGCTGCCGCCTCCAAAGAGCAGCACCCAAGGATGACCTTGCACACGTCAGCGATCTCGAGGCAGACCGCGCCTGCGTGGCCTGCCGTCGTCGTGTCGCTCTTGGCTTTCTTGGACATTGCGCTTGTGAGAGAATGATGGTCTTCGGTTGGCGGTGAAGTCGAGGATTCAAATTAGTCGTTGAGGTTCTCTGGTGCTGGGACCTCTACAGCGAGGGCTCAAGTATATGTGGCATGCAAGATAAATGCAACAGGGACTCCATTAAATACACGACAAGGTGGTCTACGCATCTGTAAAGTTGTCGGTTTGGCGGTACGTAAAGTCGGCAAAGGTCTCTGCGCCGGGAAAGGCTGCGTCGTTCACGACCGACTCGACCGTGAGCTTGTCGAGGCGGCTGCCAGTCGCAGCATTGGCTCGCGGCACGAACGGGGGACGGATTTGGCGACGATACAGTTTTTCCCACTGGACGTCTGCAAAGAAGGGGTGCGCCATGATCTCTTTTCCGCCACGGAAGCCGAGACGCATGCTCGGATCGCGCGTCAGGAGCCCTCGGAGCAGCGAGCGCGCGTCGTCGGAAAAGTGCTTGGAGCTCACGTCGAGGCGCTCGTGCAAAATGTTGTGGAAGTTCTGCTTGCGGTTGGGGTGGTAGAACGGGGTCGAACCACTGAGCATCTCGAACATGACAACACCAAAGCTCCACCAGTCGACGGCCTTGCCGTAGCTCTTGCGCTGGAGAATCTCAGGTGCGAGGTACTCGGGCGTGCCGCAGAACGTCGTCGCGTCGTCCGCGGCCTTGACGTGCTCGCGGCTCAAGCCAAAGTCGGCGAGCGCGATAAAGCCATCCCCATCCATCAAGATGTTCTCCAGCTTCAGGTCGCGGTACACAATGTGCACCGTGTGCAAGTGCGTGAGCGCGAGGACGAGCTGGGCACCGTAGAGCTTTGCTTGGTGCTCTTTGAAGTGCCGCTGCGTCCGGAGGAGTTGGAAGAGGGTGCCGCCAGAGTAGTAGTCCATGACAAGATAGAGCTTGCCGGCGTTCTGGAACGCGTACCGGAGACGCACGACGAACGGGTGGTCAATGTCTTGGAGGACTTTGCGCTCGGTCTTGGTGTGCTCGACTTGGTTCTTGGCGACGACGTGTTGCTTCTTGAGTACCTTGACAGCGTAGATGCCGCCGCCGACGCGCTTCCGGACAAGGATGACCTTGCCAAACGCACCCTTCCCAAGCACTTGGAGGAGCTCAAAGTCGTCAATGGTCATGGGCTCCCGCTTCGGCTTGCTCGATGACGATTCTTCCTTGGCTTGTAAAAACTTGGTCACGACATTGACGTTGCGCCAACGAAGTTCGGCGCGCTGGAATTCGAACGCGCTCGGGGCGTCGAGGAACCGGAAGACGGACGAGAGGACCGTCTGCGTGATGGTGTTGGACGAGCGCGGACCGGCCGAGAGGCTGAGGCCAAAGTAGCCCTGGCCGATTTCATGCCCGAACGGAATGGCCTCGGAGGCCTCCCAACATACAGAGCGCGACGACACAAATGCCTGCAGCTCGGACGGGCACTTCTCGGTGGTTTGGCACTCGAGGAAGCCGAGGTTCCCAAGCCGCGCTTGGAGGTTGTACATGATGTCGGGGTTGAAGATGAACTTGTGGATGAGCACGCCGCCGTAGCCGTAGCCGAGGAAGTGAATCTTGTGGGCCGCTGACGGAAAGATGTAGTGCTCCCACACAAACTGGACGTGCTCTTCCGGCGTCTCGGAGCCGGGAATCGCGATCTTCGAGCCGTCATGCTGCAGCACTGTGTTGACGTTCGGGTTCATCACAATGACGCCGTAGCCCTTCTCGATAGCCTTTGCAAAGTACGGCAGCATGCTCCCGACGTTGACACCGGAGCGAAGGAGGAGACTCCGGCTCCAGACGCCGGACGTCGCGCCACGCGAGCTGCACACAAAGACGAGGAGTTTCTCGGCCACGGACCAGTTGCGCGACGTGTAAAACTCGCAAGACGCCGGCGCGCCCACGTACGGGATCGACTGCGCAACGAAGCCGAGCTCGTCCTCCATGCGCGTGTGCACGTACGCAATGACTTGGCCGAGCATGGCCTCGGAGTGGAGGATCTCTGGGTCCATGATGCGCTCGCCGGATGACCGGTCGCAGAGGAAGCCCGTGAGCGGGTTGATCGTGTAGAGCGGGTCGTCGAGGTCGACGTTCGAGGTCGGCATGGCAGGCTCGTCGTCCTCGTCACTGGTTGGGGCTTCTTTATCTTTGGAGTGGGATGGGGCGAATTTGGCGAGGAGCGTGTCAAAGTCGAGCGCGAGCATGCCTTTGCCGCTGGCTTTGAAGCCGACGTTGGCCTCGATGAACTGCGACTGCGACAGCTGCGAGTCGGTCATCGCGGACGAGAGCGAAAATGACGACGATACCGGCGCCAAACGACCCGCGCCGTGGATCCAGCCGCCACCGGCTAGTCGCGCCAGCTGGCATCCGATTCTCACATGCGATAAATGCATTTCACACACACCGGAGCTCTTGTTTTCCACGTTGCATGCTCTCCCACGTTACTTCATTGGTGCCACGAGTCTGTCAGAGGACGCGAATGCGAGGCTCGCTGCACTGCGTAGAGCCAAGAGATTGAGTCATCGATGAACGCATTCCTGCGACCGACTGCTACGGCAATCATGTACCGGTACAGTGTATTCTGCAGTGTACATTGCTCTTCGCGGGAAAGAAGGGGCTTGTTCCCTAACGTCTGGATCTGAGCAAGATCGTAACGCGCACAGTCACCTTGGGACTCCCAAGGTGACTGTGCGCGTGGCCTCTCCCAAGTTGGGAGAGGCCACGCATGCATGCAGCGAGCACAAGTATGGGGCCACCGCTTGGTTTAGAGGCAGCTGGCTCTGCTGTAACAGAGTGTGGGGCACCGTCGACGACAGACCTCGTCCAGCTCTTTCTGCCGTGCTGGCATCGCATCGAGATCTGCGCGCTCTCTTCGACAGGACAACCGCCGTGAGCAACGACAAAGCGAGTCATCGAGGCGGTGCACATCCCACAAAGCTATCCCACAGCATGCGACGATACAGCGACAGCGACAGAAACAGCCAAGTGCCAACGCTCGTGACGTGGCGGGACGCGAGCCTACCCCCTGCCATAGGCCCCCTATCCGGAGGAACGTACTATCCGGATACATCAGATAGACAGGCATCTGGTGTGATTCTGCATTATTAATATAGATGTATCTGCTTCCAACATTCAAGTATTGCATGCAACTTTGACAATATTAAATTAAAGGCTTTTTAATGCGTCCAAGGATTGACCCACCCACGATGCTCGCGCGCCGACGGTATTTCACCTTTGCCATGCTGACGTGTTGGAAGCTCGTCCTCGGAGTCCTCGCGGCTGCCGACGCGGCCACCATGCTTGCTGGCTTCCAGCCCTCGCCCGAGCTGGCGCAAGGTCAGCGGGCGCTCGGTGATGCGCCGTTTGATCTCTCCATCGGTATCAAGGCCGCCGACCCCTCGGCGCTCGAGGCTCACTTTTGGGCCATCTCAGATCCGAGGTAATACCACCAAGTTCTTCTTCAACCGAGTCGCGTGACGCTCAATGGTAGTCACCCAAAGTACAACCGATTCTTGGCCCAGAGTGAGGTCGACGCTCTCACGGCGCCTCACGCCGATGCCCTTCAGACGCTCCAGCGGTGGCTGTCGGCGCACGCTGTCGACAACGTGACGTTCTCTGCTACTACCAACCGGCTGTCGGTAGGTGCCTTGTGCGTTTGCGAGCACAGTGCGCATGAGCGGTCGGTTATAGGCGCGGACAACGGTGCGGACGCTCGAAGCCATGATGCAAACAACGATTCACGCTTTCAACGTCGACAGCGGTCACCGACTGTTGCGTGCTACGACGTCGCTGACGCTGCCCGACGACGTGGCGACACATGTGGCATACATGAACCTCAACACTGCCCCGATGCGTCGGTCTCTCCGTGCAACGGCTGTGTCACCGACGGATGCTGTCCGCAACGGCGCTGGTGTCACGCCAAGCTTCCTCCGCGACCTATACAAGATCCCGGTCCAGACGCACCCGAACGAAACGAATGCCCAGATGATTCCGGAGTTTTACAATGAAGCATGGAGCCAAGACGATCTTGCGACGTTCTTCCATCAGCTCATGCCCAACGAAACCCTGCCGATCTTGCATTCCAACAACGTAAGCCTGTACGACCGTCAGCTGCACACGAGTACTATTCACGTAGGTGGCCGGCCGGGACAACGCCCCCGATCACGCCAGCGCCGAGGCGTCTCTTGATTTGCAGTACATCACGGCGATTGCACCCAAGACGCCGACATTCGTTTGGTCCCAGGTCGGCGCCAACCCCTACTCGGCGGCTGACGAGCCCTTTGTCGAATGGGCGACGGCAACGCTCTCAATGGACAAGCCGCCGTACGTCGTATCGCTCTCGTACTCAGACGACGAAACACACATCTTCGAGGCATCCGAAAGCTATGCGCGCAGCTTTGATACGCTTCTCATGAAGCTCGGCGCGCGTGGCGTCTCGGTCGTCATGTCCAGCGGCGACGACGGCGTCGCTGTAGGCACCCACCGCAACATCGAGTCGCGCTCACATCATGGATGTAGGGCCAGCGCCCGGCGCTTCTCAAGACGCATACCTCGAATGCTGCGGCGTGGTGCAAGCGCGCCAATCCGCAATGGCCTACTAGCTCGCCGTACTTGACGTCCGTGGGTGCAACGATGCTGAGCAAGAAGGATCTCACACCCGACTTTTTCGCCACGGACGAAGAAGTTGTCTGCTCGTCGGAACTTGGCGCGCTCATTACGTCTGGTGGTGGCTTCTCCAACCAGTACCCACGTCCATCATACCAAGCGGATGTTGTTGCTGCCTACCTCAACTCATCGGCGATCCCGTCGCTGGTACGCTAGCGTGTACCGTAAACGATGGTCTCATGGACCGTAGGCGTACTTTAACGCGTCCGGTCGTGCGTACCCGGACGTGGCTGCGTTTGGCTCCAATTTCAAGGTTGTGATTCGCGGGTCGACAAGCTTGATCTCTGGCACGTCGGCGTCGGCACCCGTGTTTGCGGGCATCCTCACGCTTATCAACGACCTGCGCCTGAATGCGGGCAAGCCACCGCTGGGCTTTGTCAACCCGCTCTTGTACAAGGCCTATGCACAGAACCCACGATCGTTCAATGACATTGTCGTCGGGTCCATTGCGGCAGGCATGGGGTCGGCCAAGCCCGTGTGCACGCAGACGTTCCGCGCGACGAGAGGCTGGGACGCAGCATCCGGTCTCGGATCCCCCAACTTCGAGGTGCTCAGCAATTTGCTCGTTCACCCCGAGGCGTGGCTCGCGACGACACTTGATGCGCCGCAGAGCAGCAGCCACGGAACGAGTGAAGCCAATAGCAGCGATGTGCCAGTCGTGCTCACTGAGCGACTCTCGAACCTCGCGATCGTCGTTTGCGTCGCGACGCTCGCCGCCGTGCTTGTGCTAATTGGTTGCACCTGTTGCTACGTCCGGCGCTCACTGAAGCACAAGTCGTACCAAGAAATCGACATCAACAAGCCCGACACGCCCATGTACCCTTCAAAAGCCAAGCAGGACGCCGCCGCCATCTTCACGATTGACGACGACGACGACGATGAGAAGGACCTCGAGCTCACCGAGGTGCCATTGGGCAAGTAGAGAGCGTGTCATCCGGTATCGTTGAATAGACTGTCGTCGTTGATTTCTAAGAAGTTTCTACTGTTAATGCACGGACATTGTATGCTGTTCTAGCTAATCGCAGATGCATTACGGGCGAAGCGTCTTGAGCTCGTCGAGCATCTCGTCAAGCTATCGAGTTCTATGGGCATGAGTCATCGAGGCAACTAGTACCTGAAGCTGGAAGCGCGTGATATCTGCGTTCTTGAGCGTAAGAACGTGCTCGTAGTGCGCCCGCAACGCCGCCTGCTCGAGGCGGCTGGACGCTGTCGCTTGCTGCAGAAGTGCCTGCAGCTCCGTTTCCCGCACCGCGTACTTTTGCATCAGTGCGTGTACTTGGAGCTCCAGGGCCTTGTATTGTAGCATCGATGGTGTGTTGGGAAGCTCAAGCTGGTGCGTGAGGTCGCACACCTGCGTCTCGAGGTACGGTATACGGGCGGCCGTCGCCTGCGCCTTGTGCAAGTCCTAAATTCATCACGCCATGAGATTTGATAGGGTTTCTGTGAATGTACGTCGTGGGCCACTGCTAGCATTTGCGTCACGCGCAGGATTTCTTCGTGCAGCAAGTCTTTCGCTTCGCGAAGCTCGGTGGCGTGGCGAGTGCGGGCATTTTCCATTTCACGCTGCATGCCGTCGACTTGCGCGACGAGCGCATCGTACGACGCCTGTGACACACTTGGCGCGGCCACAATGGACGACGACTGGACGAGTAGCTTGCGAGCCTTATCACTCGCACCAAGTTGCTCCTGGACACTGGCGAGCTCAGTCGCAAGGTCGGCGATCTGCTTTTTCAGTCGCGCCTACTCCAACACCCGTCAATAGAGTGGCACCATGCCAATTTATGCACACCACGAGAGGTGTGCTATCATCATTGATAGAAGCCGGCTTCCGGCCTCGTGCATCCTGTAGCTTCTTTTCCAGATCCTGTGTCGACCGTGAGTCGCTTGTGGATGTGAGATGAATGAACCTTTATCTTGGCCGTTAGCATCGCACGGTCCGGCGAAGCTGCGACTTTTGCGTCAAGCTGGGCTTGCAGTTGCGCGACAATGCGCTCGTGCTGCTGGCGAAACGCTGCAAGCTTTAGTTCGTGCGAGTGCTCAGCCGTAGCCAGTTGCTCCTGGAGAGCATGAACTTGGAGCTCATGTATGCGTTTGCATTCGGCAAGCTGGTCATCGGCAGTAGGCTTGCTCGCAAGGATGAGGTTGACGAGGCTGTCCGGGTGTCGCTTCTGCATTGCGCGCTCCATTTCAGCAATCTGAGTCTCGAGCGCCTACGCATGTGGTCGATAACGTTACCGTCCCGTTCGGAATTCATACTTGAATGCGGCGGCGATCCGCGGCCCGACTTGGTTTTGATGATGACTCGGATCTAGGTTGGCGCCGGAGGTCGTCGATTGTTGCGCGTTGCTGCCGCAGCAGCTCGTCTTGCTCGTCTAGGTATCGCTGATTCTGAATATACCTACGTTGACACTGTGGTAAGTATCTTGAAAAAGCGTTCACAAGTTACCAGTCGAGCTTGGACTGCAGCGCCGCAATTTTGGCTTCGGCGTCACGCTGTTGGGCTGCGCTGGCCGTGCGTAGCTGTTCATAGGCGTCGTTCTCTCGCTGCAGAACGTCCATGCGAACCCCCGCAATTTGGCACTCGAGGTCCTTCTTCGCTTTCTTGACCATATCGAGCTGCACACGACGATACGTGGAGGGCAAGAAACACACACAGTCGCACCTCGACCTTGAGCTCGCGTTCGTGGGTTGCGTGACGATCGCTGGCGTCGCGTAGTTCCTCCTGAAGCGCAAGGACCCGCGCGTCGGCAGCTAGCGTGACTTCCAGGGGTGGTCTCGCTTGGTTTTGCTGCTGTATCTGAAGCTGATGCCGGAGATCTTTGATGGTCGCCAACAGTGCTTCGTTTTGCGTATGCACGTCGTACTAGATGGATGATTGTACACGCCAAGTACAGAGAAAAGTCGTACGTGCAAGTCCCGCCGCACGTCTTTTAGTTGCTGCATCAGCCGTTCGTTCTCGAGCTGGTAGCCTTGGATCAAACCTTCTTGCGTCTACCATAGATGTGGTAGTTTGAAGAAACACACGAGAACTACCTCCATCTCTTTGCGCATCGTATCGTAGGCAGCAGACGTCATCGTGACACCGTGGCGGCTCTGGCTATGCACGTACTTGCCAAGAAGTCGCGCATCCGAGAGCGTGTGCACGTCTTGGGACACGGAGAGCGCGTCCCGCTCGTGTCGCAGTGACATAATCTCGCGTTGGGCCGCTTGGAGCTCGAGCTTCATCTCGTTCTCCTTGTTGGCAAACGCGCGGATGAGAATCTTGTCCCGCTCAAAAGCGTCGGCGACTTTTTCGTCGTGAGAGACGCGCGCGGCGTCGAGGGTCGCTTGTAGCTGTCTGAAGCGGTCTGCGGCTGGCAGTGGGGCCACCGTGGGTGTGGCGTGGAAGGCTGTCGTGTGAGTGGCGACCGGGCTGGCCACGAGCCCAGGCGTTGGAACAAACGCGGGCGGCAAGGAGGGTACCGTCTCAATGGCTGCAGCGTCCACGTCGATTGTTGCCACGGATCCAGACGGACCGTCAACGAGCTTGACAACGTCTTCTTCGGCCGTTGGTAGCGTCATCGCGGTCTCGACAGTGACAGCGCGCAAGTTGTACGCGGGTGCCTCGGACGTTTCTTGCAAGAATGACAGGTACGACGGCACCTCCGCGACGACAGGGTCGGCAGCATCTGCCGCTTGTCTAAATAGACACGTGCGTCATTGAACATTAGTGAGCTTTCAACGTCGGTACACTTGGTCAATCGCGTCAGCGGGAGGAAGCTTGGGAGGTGGTGGGGGGCCAGGCGACTATGCACGTATACTAGAGCACATGATAATGTGCCGTCAACATACTGCAGGAGGACTGGCCTCATCAGGCTCAAAATTCACGGGGGGTGGAGGCGGTGGCGGTGACAGCGGCGGCGTCATTCCATTCACATCGGCCGATTCCTCGAAGCCGTCGTCGTCGTACATGTCCATGTCATTGTCCTCCGTAGCAACCTAAACGCACGTGGAGAATGGACGAGAGATATACACGTCGGACCGGTGTTGCTTCGAACTCGTCGTCGTAGGCGTCGCTCGTCTCCACTGGAGGCACCTCTTTCTCAAGCGATGACTCGAGCGAGAATACATTCTGCAGCAGGCGTCAGCATGACACACGATGGTTGCGGTACGGGCACCTTCATCTTGGCAAACGCGCTTTCAAAGGGAGCCAACGTCTGTGTCTCGGCAGGCTTGTCTGCTGCAACGTCTGCGTACCGGAACGTCTCTAAAGCCTGCGTTAACGTCGAAATGCGGGGGCGTCACTACGGTTCAACCTGCGGGCGTCGACGTGAACGCAGCATCGACAGTAAATGGTGCCTCAACGCTGGCCTACACGCGCTTGCAGCCCGCTCAGAGAAATGATACTGTACCTTGGTTAAAGGCTTTTTGGCGTACCCACCAACCTAACATAAATCATGGCTTGACAAGTCAAGATGGGCGATAGACCTACCTCGAAGTCTGCCGATTCCATTCCGAGTGAGTCGGAAGACTCATCAGACGAAGGCTGTTGCGCCGGTGGCGCTAGCTCTACTGCCGGAGGCTCCTTGGGCACAGAGGCAGCAGCTGGCACCTCGACAGATGACTACGATATACGTGGCACGAACAATATTTCATACCCACCTAAAGAGTATATGGGATACCGGAGCCACCGCGTCAGCGAGTGCACTTCCGTGGCGCTTGAGGATGTCCGCCATTCGTTCTTCAAGGCTCAGCTTGCGCGACTGCGTGACTGGCTTGGCGCGCGCTTTGGGCTTCTGTCGAGTGTCCTCGTCGCTCTCGCTTGTGGCTGCTGGGCGCATCTCGAAGTTGTACGGGTCATCACTGCGAGCAGTTGCATGAGGCCTTGCAAAGGATGCGCAAAACTTGCCTATCTGCGAGAGTAGGGCGCGAAGTCTCTATGCATCGTGTCAGCAGCCACTCGTCAGCATACCGGTACAGTGAGCAACTACCTGCCGTGCTGACTCGTCTTGTTGTCTTCTTCTTGGCCTTGGCGAAGGCTGCGTGCTCGTCGTCCGAGTCGCCTTCGAGAAACCTACAGCAACGTGCCACGTAAGAGGTCACTCACGCCGCTGCACGCGACCTTTCGAACTCATCGTCCGATGACATTGCGCTCGCCGTGGCGAAAATGAAAGGTGCACTTCTTCTCGTCCAGAGATATACGCACCCATAAATTGCACCGATGTAGAAAACGCACCTGCCCTGAGTCCCATGGGCACGGCCAAGTTCGACCGAACTTATCACCGCAGGCTCCGACAAAAGACTTTGATGTAAGCCGCCACGACTGACTTGCGTACCTTCTGAGGGTGGACAGAGGCTTATATGAAAACACCCCCAACATTCTCTCCAATAGACCTCGACGATGGTGTAGTAGTACGAATTACATGAAAACGTCTCCCTTGCCGAACCATGCGGCTGATGACCTCCACCGGCTACGCAAAACTGTAGTTTTGCGTAGCTGTACATTCCTTGAGTTCAGTGACCAATAAAAATCGTGCCGGGCTTGCTGAGCGGGCTACCAAGTCGCCAAAGATGCTCGCTCGGAAGTGTTGGGGGCTGTCTACCGCGCGTTTAAAGAGATGCGGTGCGAATCTCCTGAGTGTTGCTGAAAGCACCCCAACCGGTGGCTTTCATACGTACCGGTACGTAGATTTGGAAATGATCAAAAACCTGACCTTCCCACCGGTAGTTTGTTTCGAGCATTTGCCGGCGTGGTCGATTTTAAAAATGGTGGCTAGCAATTTCCGATCGTTTTATCTGAAGGCCCACGCGATGAACAATGGACGAATTCAAGGCATGAAGGTGCCGTCAGACCGCAGCTCGTAGTTATCTACAGTCGAGGACAGCCATGCCTGCAACACGGAGATCTCAGATATAGCAGGAACCTCTCTGACAGCAATCGCATTGAGCGTTTTAGACAAATAATCTGCACAGTGTCGCTGCGCCAGGTGGCATGCAGTTTGCTCCTTCTCACAACCATAAACCACCTTGCTGAGTCTCGCTAAGCGTGTCCACATTGACCGTGAGCGGGACGGCCTAGTCGATGGTGGCGTCGGCGTCGTCGCCGTGGAACCAATGGAAGGCCTCGCTGGCATCGGAATGCTGATACCCTAATTTACATGACCCGAGCACAGTATTTTGCATTTCCTTCGCACAATTAGGCACATTGTGTCATATTCGAACATGCACCAACATGTACATGGATTTTGAGCAGAAGCGACGCAAGTCGGTACGGGTTGATACTCGAGGTTTGTAAAGCTCGCTGGGTTGAACTAGATGAAGCGCTGATCTGCGAACGTTCACTTCGACTTCCGTCGCCTAGAGATGTATGCGGCTCCTAATGGTCACAAGTCGTTAGCACAAACTAGAAAACAGTCATCAATACACCACATGAATAGCGACGAAATGAGCGCTTATTTCAAAAATGCTACTACTACCAAACGGTATCAATGATCACGATAATCGATTAGTTCAAAAGTAATCGTGGATGGGCTCGCGCTGGTTTGCGAACACTCACTAGTCCCTGCGCGAATGGTAACGGGACGAACCAAGCACCCACGCACACCAAGGTGCACTCATCGACGATGATCAGACAGAATACCGCGCTCCCGCATTTTGCGACGCTGGCGTCGGCCAATGAGATGCTCGACCTCACGGATCTCTTGGTGGCGCCGCCGGCGTCCGTGTGGCCACGAAATCAGCGCACGCGCTACGGCTGGCCAGAACGTACGACGGACATCGGCTATCAGCTACCCGAGCTGCCAAGAAGACCACAAAATGCAGTTCAGGCGGCGAGTACTCCGCTCCTGCGGCGGACGTCGCCGTCGTGTATGCTTACTTCGGTCGTCGCGATACTATTGGCGTCGCCTCCGATACATGCGGTGCTGCTGGCTTCGAAAGAGCTCGCGAGGAAGGACACCGACTAGACACTAACCGCAAGTAACGCGCGCTTCCGGAGACTCCGTAGGGCACGAACAAGGAACTGCTCCATTACGTGTACGGGGACGAGAGCGCTCGGCCTGCGGACGGCGCTCAACCGTGCATCGACCCGGTGAACGGTAAGCAACGACCATATCATCGACGAGAGCACCTACTGCTCGCACCGTGTGCGCTTTGGTCAAATGGAGATATCGATCGGCACTCCAAGAGCCTTGGGGCTCGTGCCCGTGGTCTGCTGGCCCCGCGATTCCGGCAGCGTATCGAAGACGTGGAAGAAACCAAGTAAGACCAGTTCGGGACACAGAAGGAAAGGCGCTGTAGCCTGACATGATCTTCCTTCCACCTTCCGGTTGTCCGCAAGTTGAACACTGTTTCCGAGCAAGAGGAAGTGGGCAAGAATGAGGTCGAGCACAGCGATGCTCCGGGTGTGGCGCCGCGAGGACAGCGACGTGGCGGCCTTCGTGCGCGCGCTTGTGGGGCAGAGCATCAACGAACAGCGACCATTCAAGCAAAGTTTCATGCCGCACCGGAGCCAAGAGCGAAATCTCCCAGCCATGCTCCATCCGGCGCGGCGCTTGTGTCCGCCCATGGATGTCATGCGTGAGTCTTCCAATGACCCGGCCTTGCGCCTCCGACTGCTTCTGTCTGTGCTGCGTCAGCTTTCCTGTCGGTCACAGCGTTGGCAAGCAGAAGCGGCATGACAGGTGACATGCTAGCAGAGCGTGCGCGAGCTTGCCGAGACGATGCCAAGACTCGGAGGACGAAGCTTGTGGATCGTATAGCAGGCGACGCGACCGGTATGCAATCTCGATCCACCGATGCAAGTGAACAGCAAGACTCACGCCAACACCCACGCGACAGCCGCCACGACGAGATGGAACCACCGGCCATGTCGAACGTGACGACATCTGCCCAAGACGCTCGCGAAACGGCCCCCGGCGACGCAAGACATACGTCTGTCGTGGGGGTCGGATGCGTGCCTTTACGGCGTACACGACGAAGGCAGACCACGGTCTTGGTCGTTGGATCACCCGCAAGGAGATGGACCAGTAGTGCCAAGGACGACGTCCGCGATAGAAGGCGCATGCGCCAGCTTCGCGCTCAAGCAGTCGGACTCGCCCGAAGGCACCGGGCAACCAGTGCTCAAGCGGCAGGACACATACAGAAGGCAAGGAGTCGTCTCTCTTCAGTCCTCGGGACTCAAGCCACCTGGTCGATCAACCGGCCCCTTCTCAGGGGAGGGCGCGCGACCGGATTTTTATCTGACGTCTTTCGTACGCGCGGAACTGCGGTTTTGAGTGGATGAGGCCAAGAGTCGGTCGCCTCAGGACATCGCGACTCACATGGCTATGTTTCTCACTGTTGTCAATTTCTCGTCCAAGTGGAGTCGCCAACGCGTGTGGGCGGCGCACGGCCACCTTGCGCTTGGAGACCTGCAGCGTCTTGTCATGCCGCGGACACTTTCGGGCGGTTGGACCGTCAAAACCATCGACCCCACAACCGCTGCGACTGTTTACAGCGACCACTAGCAGTGGGATCTATTCCAGTCCATGGTCTGTGCAGCGTCACGCCGCCGTATTTTTCCATGAACGGCAGCAACTAACATAGTGTCGACAACCAGAACCACTTGGCTCAGACATCGCGATAGTTTCATAACCTTTCTAATGTCTGCATGCATGTATATCATCGCGCTGTCTTTTGATGAAGCCACTTGGCTCAGACTTTCGAGGCGATTTCCACAGACAGAATTAACCCTCCGAGGGCAGCGAGTTTGGGGCCAAAGTAGACACAAACGTCACTTTGCTCCCGTATCGCTGGGAACGTTGAGGGAGGATCGGGTCGGGTTCTGGCACAGGGGAGGATCATCGCGTTCGGTTCTTGAACTGGGATGCAACCAGATTCAAGGATGCCAGGTTGATCATCCTGGAGCCAACTGGTCACGACTGGATCACTTCTCACAAGCCACTTGGCTCACACTTGCAAATGGGATTGAATGCCATGCAACGAGATAGAAAGACACACCACAAGAGCTTGCACGCGGTGGTCTCTGCAATACAGCTAGATAGTGGAGCGCAAACCACAGGCCTTGCACAACTTCTAGCAGAAGCCGTTGTGTTATGACAGCAGAAGCCGTTGGCTACAATGTTAACGTTGGGACTGTGGGCCGGTGACTCGGCTATCAGCCCAAACACATACGAAGGGAGGGCATACTCCCCGAACATCGGCATGTGCATTGAATGCAAATTGGAAAGTTAACAACTGATTGTTGGAAGCTTGAACAACGGTTCCTGTACAGTCTCAACGATCTTTCCGTATGACGATCTACAACTATGTTTTACAACGCCTTGTCCCGGGTTATTAGTGGTGGAAACCAAGGGGATATATACCCTTGTGAAAACGCACTGCACGCGGCGCTACTGTCACACACCGACGCAACGCAAACGGCCACATTAATACAAATCGGCGGTCATTAATCAAGCAGATGACAAGAATCTTGGACCTACTGTGTTCATGACGCCGAGACTATCTGCGCGCTCGACGAACGCATTTCGGTGCCACGGTCATGGTCAACCACGACTGCAGCCAGATTGGTGATCTCCAAGCAAGCCGGACCATGACCTTGAGCGGACGGCGATCATAGCCATGGTGCGCCAGAAGGGCGGCGGCGATCGATCCCACCCGCTCGCTTGCCATCGTCTTGACGCCTGCGTGTTTGAATCCAACTTATTTCAGCCCCCACAAGCGCGCTATCTGGGCTGCGGTCCTGGGTTCTACACTTGTTTGTGCAGCTGCTAGTCCGCAGTCGCTGGTGATGCAGTGGCCGCTCCATCCACGACTGCGACGTGCGAGTGTTTAACGAGCAAGGACTGTACGCGACCTCAAGAGCGCGTCTTCTCCGCTTGCCCAAGCGTGGCGAGATGGGCAGCGACAGTCTACTTACCTTCGACCTGTTGCGTCTTGGTGGGCACCTTTATGGACAACCAAGGCCAGTGCTAACGCCGCCACGTAGTTTCGGTGATTTCCGCATGACGTACCGCTCGAACGAGTTTTCGACGATCCCAGACGTCCACAAAGGCGCGCGCCACGTTACGGCGTACCAGGCCGCCCCGGACGCGAACATGCATTAGCGCTTGCACGACCCGTTCATCGCATGGCTGCTCTTACAAACTAGCAGAGTAGTGATCAGCGCGGCGAAGCCATGCGAAAGTTCGTCGTGATGCGGCTGTTCGAAGCTCAAACAGGCGTGGACCCGGGCCTAATCGGCATCTACGTCGACGACGAAGATCTGGTGACCGTAGCCTACCTTGTGGCACTCGACAGGACGGCATGCTCATCGATAGGACAAAGGGCCAGGGCCCACCAGCAATATGCCTCGCGTCGCTCCACAACCGGCTTAAGACGCTTTCGGAAGAGCACGCGCGCATGTCAGCGGTTGTCGTCATCACGAGCGGCGGTCGTTGTGGATGGACTCATCGACTCGGTCCACGACAAAGCTTGTTGCGGGCCAGCTCGTATAGCGTTAACCAAATGTAATTGTTTGTCGTGTGCATTATATCTTTGCCGGCGCATCATGGCTAATTGCACAGTGGATGGATGCTCAAGGCGACACGCAGGTATGACTTCAAATTTCCAAGTGCATCGAATCTTATCGTCAACGACTCGCGGCGCTGCTTACACCAAGAACTCCATAACCGACTAAGCTATTGGACCGATAGCGTGGGCTGCTTACTTGACCATCGACATTTGTGGCTGCTGTAAAAGTTAGAGCCCACATCTTTCACCCTCTCTTACCCTCTCTTTTCCGTTCCATACTACTTCAAATAATTTATTGTCTGGGCTTCATGGCAACCACACACCGACTTCAGGTTACGTCCAAACGCTCTGGTTGCAATGTGATGTATGCAGCGTCAGCACGATGTAGTACAAGATGCAGGCATTGAAGTCGCGGTGAAGGTGGTATCTACGGAGCATACTGCCTGGAAAGAGCAACAATCAGCGAGCATTGTGTTCTTTCGTGTTTTGCAGCACGGAATCAGACACTCCTGAGACTCCACAAACGCACCTAAAAATAATGCATTTGATAAAATGGCCCATGGAGCGTTACGCCTGATTGCGTGGGAGTTTGCACCAGCACTTAGTCCTTGTGGGTGAGCTGAGCACGGAGAGATCCATCCCGTGGTGGACCCCACTCACCGAGGGATATAACTCGCTCGAGTTCGTACGCTGGCTCCTGTACTTAGATCACCGGACAAAGAGGTGCGAGCCGTTGGGCGTTTTAAACGAAACCGTCAGACCCTCAGCCGAATATATCCGGATACCGACCAAGCACATAGAGCCGACGCCGGACGCGGCGAGCCCGGACGACTCGTGGCGGCAGCGGAGAGTCGGGAGGCGACAGGATTTTGTGGAGGCATGGCGACCGCGCCTGCGGGAGAAATGCACAGGAGGGCCAGCACGTTATCTCCTTGACGGCCGCCGGGGACTCGACGGGCTGCACAGTGAACGTTTGCGATACAATGTTGCTTGGCGTATGCTACGAGCCTTAAAAATTTTGACAAAAAGACGATCTTATTTTCGCAACGTGGCTTTTCTGGTGACATAAAGGCGTTGTCCACAGATGGCGTATGCCGGTGACATAATGGTCGGATTTGTGAAGCTAAAGTTCGGTCCCATGCACCAATCAACCAGACGCGTTGTAGAAGTCCTAACCAGAGCAAGAGCAGTCATTATCGGCGAGCCATTGAAGGCGGTTTCTATTAAGCCCATCATTAGCCAGTTGATAAATTAAAGCCACTTCCAGATGTGGTCCAGGTGCTCCCTACATTATGGCGTCTTTTTCAAATCTATCGTTATGGCGCTGGGTCTAGCTAGCTACCCCTGCAGTACCGAGCATAGATCAACCGGATGCCAAGGCGACTTGGCTGCAATAGTAGCAGAAAGAAGGCCTGGCGATGGTTTTCGCAAGGCAGCCGCCGGCGTATCAGTGTGATGAAAAAGGCTAGTTGACAGTGGCTTCTTTTCATAGACGTTTCCAAGGCAGTATTAATTGCCTGCTGCATTCGCTTTGCTTGCACATTGTATTTGTCCAACCTCGCTGTGAAAAACGACCTGCCGGGAAGGCGTAGTCAAAATATTAGCCAGACATGCGAAGCTGTGCTTAAAATTTCTCGTGTTAGATTTTTGCACTGTAACAGAGCTGGATAGTTGAAAAATTATCGAGCTCAGACAGTTGTATCCGTCTTCTATTCCTCAAGGCGAAAAGATCTAGGTACACCCTCCCCAGATCACTAAGCTCGGACCGACCAGAGGCGAAGCGGCCCTACGAGTAATGTGAGTGCGTGCATGCAGTGAAAAAGACATCGGTCCGCGCAACACACCACTCAGCCCAGTTTTGCGGGCCTTGTATGGTTCTTTAGAGCACTTCCCTCAATGGTGGATATCCGGTTGTTGCCAGACGATGCATCCCGAATCAGTATAGTGAACACACTTACATATATTATTCAGGTTTTTTAGGGCGCACGGCGTTCCCATGCCTCCGATTTGCCGTGAAGCAGCCAGAATAGCGAAGCGAGTACAAATCGCGCGAAGCGTGTGCAAGCGGAAACTGGCGCAGCGAGTTTCCTCTTGCAATGTAAAAATGCCATTATATTTGTCTACCCAACGCGCGAGGCGCGTGCATCACAGCGGTTATGGTGAGTGTGGCGTGCTCGCGCAGGCAGTGCTTTTTTATGACGTCGACGAGCGGAGGAATTCTGGTATCCAAGGTTGCTGGCCTCTACTATTGGTAAATCACAATTCCAACCTGCAATCGTGTCCCATCTAGCCTACGCATCTTGTTTCTCCTCGACGCTGACTAGCTCAGTGACTTGCTATACTTGCTCGGAAATAGGGGAAGTGCGGCAGCATCAACAAAAAACAGCTTACGTATAGCCCTTTCGAACCTGAATTCTGCCTTTTCCTCACATTCCTTTTATGCTTGCTTGAGACTTCTGGTCTGCGCAAAATGCTGTCATAAAAATTTGTTTCCACAGCAAAGAAGCACGCTTTACGCACCAAAAAGTATATATACTTCTTGCACAGCAGAACACTGACAACGTATCAATGGAGGTCTTTACATTAATGCAGCTACTACAAGAAAGACATTCAGTATAGAATGATTCTCTAAACCAAATATAGATTCAATTTCATCATTGGCAGTTAAAATAGTGGAGACAATAAACGCGAGAGAGCGATAATGATAGCACACGCCTTTAGAGTCATCGCAAGAACTTGTTTGCTATCAACGTGCCATGCATTCTTACACAAATGTGGCCATAAGGTAACAGGGCCCGCTGTTGTTTTCAAGTATAACAGAATGATACACCCTTCGTAATTAGTGATGTAGAAGTGAGACACATTCCGTTAAGCACTAGGGTTAACCTGGTGGCCCTACGGCTACACTCTATCGTGGGCGCAATCTTTCTTCATGCAAGCTACAAAAAATGATAAAACGGCAACACGAAACGTCAATCAGTGGCTTCTAATGTTCGGGGGTTCCTGCTTACATCTAGTTTGGTGCAGGGGGAGGCAAATTCCGGAATGAGCCGCCATGGCGCTAGAAAGTTAGAGTACTTTGCTCAGCCAGTCAGTCAGTTACCATCTATCGCCTAATTAAAGCATCGCACATCGACATACTGACCAATCACCCCATTTCTTGCACACGGTCGGCCATATGAAGCCAGATACCAAGGACAGTAAGAGACCGTCGTCCGCAGCGTCCCGCCAATGCGCCAGCAAGTGTACTCAGCTAACCAACGCTCAACGCAGTCTGGACTTTAAATGCCCCCCGGCACTAGCACAGTGCAGCACGCACTTCATAGTGACCTACCTGTGGTAAGGCCGCCAAGCCTATAAAAAGCTAGCTTACAACGCCCGTTGGCGTCATACATATACGGCCTACAAACACATACTCGCTTCGCTCGTGGGGCCGCTTCGCGGCCGCGTCAGCTTCGCGGTCCGAGCTTGGAGATTCAAGGAGGGTGTACCTAGATTTTTTTACTTTAAGCAATAGGATACAAGAGATGTTATACAGTTTTACTTTGCTAACCTTCTGTGCGCTGCCAGGTAGAACGAATGCAGTCATAAAAAAAAGGGGAAGCGATGCAGTGGAGAATGCTAGCAAAACTTCATGTCTTTGCTAGAAACACCACGCTTTTGCCGCGATGTCATTTTTCGCGGTTCGTATCATGTACCACAACGATAAACTGCGAGAAAGGTTTGTGGTATGCAAGATAACAATGCTGAGACCGGAAATTGGTACAGAATGCAGTCATGAAGCGTACATGCACGAATGCACATCATCATCATACGTGCTAACCACCAATAGGACGCAAGAAACAAATCATTTATTGGACAACAAAAAGACACCAATATCCTCAGCGCACAAAATTTTGAGTAATGTTAAAAAGGGCAGAATATATAGCTTGACAGGGGTGCGCTCAATCGTTTTTGGTCAAATCTTCTTCGGCCTACGTAGTTGCCTGATAGTGAGCTCGTACCTGGTATGATATTTTAATGTCAGGTACAATGTCCGTCTGTTTCTGATAACGCCATCGCGTCCAGCGCAAAACCTTAGTGGAGAAGAAGTCTACTGTTAGTGATATAAAACAGCGTAGTCGTGCTAGTTGCTCTTTTAGTGGAGTGTCAAGGATTGCCTACCACAATATCAGATCCGTCATGTTAGGGAAAAATATTTGATCAATGCGTTGAACTCCCGGCAGAGATGTATTCATGATTCATACCTTTTTAGAAGCAGAGCCCAAAGGCTTGCAAAACGTACTAGTAATGTTGTGCATTCTTTCGGTGCGTTGATAGACAGCAGTGCGGTGCGTAGAAGTCGCTAACTGTGAAAAGAAGGTGCAATAAAAGAAAAAAATGCGATAGATAACACTGCTCGAAGGTATAAGGGATGCGGACGTGCATTCGCACATAAACATAGGCAGCAACCTGCACATTACATTCGAAGCCTCTACACTACATGTATGCATGCCAACGCTTAACGCCGTACCTCAATCGCCCGGCACGTGCTCCGCGCAAATTAAGAATCGGTTCGCTCGTCAGGCCGCCATTCGGCAAGTCGTGGGCATTGCCACACCGTGCGAACCACATGCATTAGAAACGAGTGTCAATATTGCTTCTTTCACAATATTGTTTAGAGAACAGTTATCTGGCATCGTCCGGATAGCCATCATGATGAGGAAACTGCCGCCGACACAACTACGAAGCCCGTACAGTTGAGCCGACTAGTGCATTACGCGGACCAATGCATTGCGCACTGCGTGCGCGCATCCGCTTTGCTCGTAGAGCCGCTTCGCGGCCTAGTCAGCCTTGGATCTGTACGACGACAGTGACTCTGCTCAACTGGCTGCTTTCCGTGACGGGATAGTGCTCAAGAAATTATTACAATCGACCCTGTTGACATCGAAGCCATGTTTCACGACCGATGCAGCAGCCAGGCATGAGGGGTGGCTGACGCTCGATGTTATTGTCGCGGTGAAAGCGAGCATCCTCACACAGTTCTCACTTGGACCGTCCTACGGAGAAATCTACAAGGCCTAGCTAACGCCAACCAGCAGCAGCGCGCTGTATGAGCTCGACTTACATGTAAGCCAACGAAGACGCCAATTTTGGTATGTGCGGCGAAGGCAGATATGGAAGGGCTATGAGTCCAACCTTCTGCTTGCACGGTGTCGGCTCAACTAACGCGTCGCGATAGTGTGGCCTTAGGGCCACAGGCAGGTTGAACGATTGTATAAAGCATCGCATTCATCACATCCATGATACTTGAACACGATATGGTAGACCCTGTGGCCCTATGGCCAAACTCATTGTCAGATCCACGGGGGTAGCTCCGGTACGAAAGGTCGCTGTCCCGCATGGATAGTGCGCTTAGACGTGCAAAAACGTTGTGCGTCGGCAAGCTATAGCACATATTTATACGATCTGTTAGTTCTAGGAAAATCTTGGCTTGCCTGACCAAAATAGGAGGTCCGAAAGTGACAACACGTAAGGTACAGCAGTAAGAGTACCCCAAGTGTCGTAGCAGCGCAATCGAGCACCTTGATGAGACTTGGACATGAGCGATTGTCAAATCGATAACAGCCTTCGGTATAAAGGCTTTAGGGGGCCAAGCGGACCCTGCTAGTACGCGCGAGCTGCAGCTGGGCCATTTCCGGCTTTTTGTATTGCATGATGTGATCTTGGCTCCATGGCCAAATTTCATATCCGGACGATATCCGGTCGTTTCAATCTTTGACTATGCAATAAGAAGGATCGAAGGTGTCGGCGTCATTCAACGGGCGTTTCAAATAAAAATACATACAAATCAAGCCTGAGAGCCACCCTTTGGTATTATTTCCTTGGCTATGGTCCATTCCCGTCGTTCTTCTTCTTTCCGCTGTTTGTTCTCGCAGTTCAGTCCGACAGGCAGAGCAAGATACTGAATGACGCCCCATGATTGGCCTATTTTATCAACGGGATCTTCGTGCAAACGATGCCAGTACTCATTTAGCGATGGGCTTGCCGCACGTGCTAACAGCTCTCGGCCTCGCGCTAGCTGCCGCAGTCTCGGGTGGCGACAGTAGCCAGCATGCGCTTCTGGCGCAACCCGCCTGCACGATCGATGTGCCTTGGGAAGGTGAGCTAGCGGCGCAGCGCGACTGCGAGTGGGCCAAGTGCCATCGGTGCTGGAAGAGCGTCTGGTACATCAAGGAGACTCATGTGCTGCCAAACATCACGATCGACGCAGTCTCGAAGGGTGTGCACCTGACGTGCTCATGGCTCACGCACGCGCGCAACGACTCGACGTGCGCGGCGATAACGCATGCAGTACCCTCGATCGTCGCAAACCTGACGGCGGGCCACAAAATCGGCGATGTGTGCCGTAGCCTCGCGCTGTGCAAGAGCCGGAAGCCGCAGAAACAACAAAAAGTGTCAAAGGGTATTGGCAGCATCTGCACCCACTGCTACTACGGCGTCAAGTACGTGAACGCAACGCGCCACATTGCTGGGCTTCCCGAGAAGGCAGTCAAGATTGGCGTCAAGGTGCTCTGTCCCCACTGCCCGCATTACCGCAAGGCATGCCACAAGTTTGTACGCAGTGTACCAACGATCCTCAAGGAGCTGAATGCTGGCAAAACGTGCGCCAAGGCTATTTGCAAGGACGTGGGATTCTGCGGGCACAAACGCCGCGCGTACGGCGAACGACGGGTGCCGGACGAAGACGATGAAGACGACTCGGGCATGACCATTGACGAGGACGCGGAAGATGACGATGGCGTTGGGTTTGATCGTCGACACCACATTTGCACGCGCCATCGTCGTGAGCATCGAACGTCCCGTTGTGGCGGCAATTGCGACCGCCGTCATTGTCACTGGTACAGCGACGATGATGACACAGACGTAGACAACGACGGCGATGACGATGGAATCGACTCGTCGCACACCCACCGTTGTCGTCACGGTCATAATTACTATCGTCACAACCGTGGTCACCGCCGTCCTCACCATCATTGCGACACGTACGAAGACGAAGCGGATGATGAAGACAGCGTGTACGAGGACATTGCCTCGGAGACGACGCATGGGCACCACTGCGGCTACCCCTGCCACAGCCACCATTGTCACCACCACCATCGTAGTCATCACCACCATCACCATCATCACCACCATCACCACCACCACCATGACGACGCCGACGTCAACGAAGCCGGTTACGCAGGGTCCAAGGGCTTGAGCAACTTGAAGATGGCACAACTGTCCAAGGCAACATCCATTGCCGCAGCGGGCGTGGTGACGTTGGGTATCATTTTCCTCGCGGCGAAGGTTTTTCAGCGCAGACGCTTGCAAGGCGTCGAAGCTGAATACGTTGCGGTGCCCCAGCAGGGTCAGTAGGACGACGCCGAGCAAGCAGCGATGCATCGGTTGTTAGTAGTTTTCTGCACAACCAATAAACGTGACTTTCTCGCATTGCAGTCATATGCCGCATAGACAAAATAACAATACTTCAGGACGTTTGGCGGTATAAGCTAATGCAAGTCTCAACAAACTCGACCTGCCGAGCATGCATTGTTGCCACAAGGAGCTATCCATCCCTTCTTTAGAAGGCAACCTGGTATGGAGCATACGTATTACCTTGGCGTAGTTCAGCTTCTTCTCGTCGTCACCGGCTTGGTCGGCCATATGCTCATGAAGTTGGCGCAACCTCTGAAAACGCTGCTCGGATACGGGTCAGAGCAGCTCGCTGTGGATCATCGCACCTGAAACAGCATGGTCTGGAGGTACTGGCCGTTGGGAGACACGTCTAGCAGACACAGAGTTGGCGTCGTGACCTAGCTTTTCGTCGTCAGTGCGATAGATCTGCCAAAACGACGAACATAATTCTTTTGGTCGCAAGCACTTGGTCGTAGAGTGACGAGAGTATCTCGTACTGCGCGAGTCGCTCCTCCTGCATGTGTCCCACAAGACTCTACGTCTCGCATGACACCACCTCAGGTGACAATGCTTGGTCGTACAGAAGCGTCGCGGAACTGCGCGGCGTGCGTGTCTTGGAGGCTCTGGAGCACATCGACCTTAGCGCTGCACCGGATCAGCCGGGAATCGTACTATTCAAACCCATGGACAATGAAGACTCGGAGCTCACGACGCTTACATCGTGCAGGACGCGCTCCAAGAAGCCGTCAATGTTGCTTGTAAAACGCTCCGAAGCGAGGCGCTAGATGCCGCAGTCGCATCGCGGTTCATCGCTCCATTCTACACGTACATGGACTTGCGTTGTGTTTGCCGTCGCCCGCTTGAGCTCATCGATCTTGGCTTCGGCACGCGCGAGCTGGGCTTCGAGATGCGCAATTGTCTTTTCTTGTATTTCTCGCTCGCTACAGATACATGCCACACGATGGAAAGTCGAGATGACGTTTGATACCTCATTACTTGGACAGCCTCGTGTTGAGCCTTGGCCGCGCGCACCAGGGCTTCCGCGTCCATGGAGCGCGCCACTGCTGCTGCCAGTTCCGCCGATAGAAACACTGCTTTCGCCTCGGCATCCACGGCTCGTGCTGTCAACGCAGCGAGTTGTGAGGTTAAGGCTGATGCTTTGGCATCGGCTGCGTCAACTTTGATCTGGAGCGCATGGAGTGCCATTTCATGCGTCTCAAGCTCAACAGTCTCGATTGCAAGTCCCTGCTTGGTCACGTCGATTGCGTCAATCGCGTCCTCGTCTAGTGTCCTGCAAATTGTTAGATTCAGCGTCTGCTGGAGCTTCATACTTGGATGCAGATGCGTTGATAAGGCGCGACTCGAGTGCTGTGATGCGGTTGCACAACTCAGTCTCTTGCGCAGCTGCCGTCGCCTTTGCCGATGCCAGCCTACGCTTGATGATGATGCCTTGTGCAAAACGTCACGTTGAGAGCGCCTACGCAACGGCGCTGGCAGCGTCCTTCTCCAGCGCTGCCATTTGCAACCTCTCGATGGTCGAAGAGAGGGCTCCTTTCTCCGCAGCGAACCTACGATCGATTCCAGCGTCAAGTTCGAACCAGAAATGATGTACGTTGCATTGGCTGCATCGATTCCGCGCTGCACCAGCGTCTGCACTTCATCGCGCGTTGCAGTTTCGAAAGTTGTCGTTTGCGTTAGGCTTTCCACCGATAATCCAGCATTTGGAGTTGACGGTGGACCCACTTGGACACCCACCGATGTTGTGGGCGCTCTTGCAGTTGACGTCACATCTGTTTGCGTGGCGGTCGGTGTCGTCATTGTCGACAGCGGCGCTGTATTTAACGGGACTGAAATCATCTCGTTCTCGATCTGCGTCTCCCGCTCGGTTGTCGGAGCGGGTCCATCGGTTTGAGCATCTCTCGATGTCGAATAGGAGTCAGTTTGAACACATGAGACCGCGACTTCGGTGTTTTCGGTTTGGCTGCCGACAGTATGGACGACCTTTGTGAGGGCAGCTCGAAGCGCTTGGAGCTCTCCTTGGGCTTCGCAATCCTTGCGCAAGAGGTCGTTTGTCTCCTTGGCCTGCTCCGCCCATGCTCTACAAAATCGTTCATTGCATATCGCGTCAGCAGCGCACGCACGTGGCCTCGGCCTGTGTCTGCACCGAGATGGCATGCGCGAGTGATTTGACCCGTGCCTGCTCATCGAGGAGCTTCTTTTCCATTTGCGCCGACACTTGCAATAGCAGCTGCCGTCGCCACGTCTGAATCGCACGCCGAGTGGCCGCCAAAGTGCATTGTCGTAGGCACCGAAGGAGCCACCGCCGGCGCTGTAACGCATGGATCGCGTGCTGTGTCCAGGATCTCCATGCGCGCCCCAGCAACAGCTGCTTCTTGTGCCGGCGCCCATTGCTTTGCTGACGCGCATCGATAACCGCTCGATGGACATGTGCCACCCACGCATGCAACGCAGCTCGTAGTCGCGGCTTGCGCCACAGCGACGCGAGGCGAAAGATGGACAATTTCCAGAGCCGCTGGCGTCGGCGCTCTTCGATGGCGTTTGCGAGTAGGCGGCGACAGCGGTAGCGTCGAAAGCAGCCTTGCAGCTGCTTGACAGCGTCCTGGCGCTTTGCCGCTTCCTGCTTCCGCTTACGCCGACGGAGGGCATCCCGCCACGCTCGGAGTCCAATTGCAAGGATGCGTCGACGGTAGCTGAGAACGCGCTGGTCGATTGCTGCTTGCTGAGATGGCGTGCGGGAGGCTCGCGGGGGTGGAGGTGTCGCCATCTCGCCAGGGCTCGTTGCGCGATCGACCATTTCGGGGAGGTCATCGTCGTCTTCGTCATCGCACGCTGCAATATCGTCCGGCTTCTTCGCTGTGAACGAAGACAGCATTGTACGGGGCGATGCTGTAGGCTTCTCCAACGTCTCTGGCAGCTCATCGTCCTCGTCGTCGACATCGTTCATGCTGTGCCATGGACCTCAGATAAACGTGGCAGCACTAAAGTCACGTACGAAAGTGGGGCCGTCGACCGTCGTTGAGCAACGCTTTGCTGGGCCATTGGGAACTTGGTCTACAACATTGCTTGTCGTAACTCACGATCGATGTTTGGCCTACCCTAGATGCTGCCACTCGCTTGCGTTCCAAGAGCTTGCGCTCGACAAGGCTGCACAAGGCGGCGTCCATGAGCGTCTGGTTGCGGAAGGACGGATGGACGCGGGAGTGGATACGATTGCCTTGCGTGCTCTTGCTAAACATGGGCGCAACCATCGAAGCTGTCGACGCCGACACGGACGACGTCATAGTGATGTCAAACCTACAAAAGCACGTGCGGACTGCGTCAGTGCAACCAGTCGCACGTGAAAGCGTCAAGGGGCGTTCCGAACGCAAGCGTGTCCCCGTGCACGACTTTGGTCGGTAAGCCAATGCGCTGGCCGTTGACAAAGACGTCAGCGGCAACGCCAATGCCGGACACGACAGCCTGCACGCACGTGTATCAATAGGAACAGAGCGCTCCCAATATATTACCTCGGACGTTGTCGGCGATAGCTCGACGAGCGCATGTCGGTCATCAATGTTGGCGCCGTCAAGGACCTACTTGGAAAGTTGATGGTGCGCGAGGCTGACGACATCGATACCACGTTGCAGTGGAACGACGATGTTCCGAGGATGTTGGGTCCTGGCACGAGCTCGTGTGCGACGTCGTCTCGGCGCAGGGCAGGCATCCGTTCTTCGAAAGATCCGCCGTTTTGTGCGCCTTCGGGGAAAACCGAGACTTGAAGAAAACAACGAAAAGACAAAAGGTCGTATATATACACTCGTACGGGTTAAATACCCACTACTATCGCATACAACAAACGCCTACGACCACCAAACGCTCTTGAGGTCGTCTTGACCAAACATCTTTTTGCACGTCGGGCACTTGCGGTTGCGCGCCTTGAGGTTGGCGTCCATGCAGTCCTTGCAAAACATGTGCGAGCACTTGGAGATGATCACGTCCTTTAGCGCGTCCTGGCAAACGGAACACTTGAGCTTCTTGCGCAGATCGCCGAGCTCAAAACGCTCCAGCTCGCTCAGCGGTGCGGCGTCGGCCTAGTCTCCAGTGTCGCCTTTGACCCTGAAACGAAAGATCGCTACCTCTGCTGCTTTGACGAGCGGTGCACTCGCCTTGGTCTCGCACTTTTCGCACGGCGTCACCTTCTCAGCTTTGGGCTGCGCCGCCATGTGCTTGGTGAACTCGAGCTCGCGAAGTGCGCGCATTTTGTCCTTCTCCGCGTCGTCCTTGAGGGCAAGCACGCGATTCACGTGCGCGTGGAGGCCCTGTAGCTCTTCTTCCTTGGTCTTGATAACGTCCTATCACGGAAACATCACATCACTCCACTCGGGTAACGTGCGCACCGCAAAACCATGCTCGAGGGTCTTTTGCTGCTTCTGGAGCCCCTGGAGCGCCGCAACTTGGAGCCGGACGCCCGCGAGTTCATCAAAGCTAAATGCGTTCGCCTGCTCCAGCTTGGCAACGGCCTGGTGTAGCTTGGTAATAGTCGTCTCCTTTTCGCTGAGCTTTTGCAACGTCTTCTTCATCTGGTCGCGCATTGCGTCCGCCTCGCGGTTCACAGCGTCAACCTCCAGCACAATAGCATTCAGTTCGGCGTCGTGGTTTACGTCCTTGAGTAACTCGAGCTCGCGCGCGATGGCGTCCCGCGCCACCTCCGCAGTAGCAAGTTTGGTCTCCGTTTCGGCAAGAGCTTTTCTTGTCGCCTGGTCCCGAGCAATCATGGCCGTCCTGTCCCCCGACCTACCGCACATTATTAGTATCGTAGCATTTAGTGTACGCCCGTACGCTAGGTCCGCTTGCAGTGCGTCGTAGGACGCCTGGAGATTAGCCAACTGGCCTTCGAGGCGCCGCATGGTCGATGACGTTGCCGCTTCTTGGACTTCGATGACGCACTGGCGGTACTTTTCAGAGCCTTTGAGCTGCGAGACACTCTATGAGGGGCAATTTTTCTACTCACAACGTACCTGGGCTTGGAGACTCGCAACTTGACGCTCGTACGACGAAAGAAGTGTCTTGTACTCGACCATCTACTGCAGAGTTACAACGAGTTCGAGAACCGCAGACTTGGCGAACCTGGTCCTTGTACGAGGCGAATGTCGTGATTTTTGCCTTGAGCTCTGCGTTTTTCAACATGGCTTCGTCTAGTTTGGCCTTGGTCTTGAGAGCGTCGCCTTGGTACTTAACGAGCTTCTTCTTCCACTTTTCGTGAATGTGTGCGTCCATGTCCTGTAGGCTTCGTGAGGCCAACAACAACCTCTCTGACGCACCTTGCACTTGAGCTTGAAGCGCATGTATTCGTCCTTGACGTGCGCAAGCTCGTTCACGGCGCGCGCCAGTTGCTCGTCATGGAGAGTCTTTAGAGCGGACATCGAACTCTTGGTCTATTCCAAGCATCGTTTTCAAGATAGAAAAACAACAGATGCGGGCACCGTACCGACGCTTCCGTCGCCATCGCGCGACGAAGATCTGCTTCGAGCTTTCCAAGCTTTTGAGCGTCGCCTCCGTGTCAGTAGCATTGCTGTCAGCCGCGGCTTCGGGTCCGCCTAAGCACATTGCAGTTTGCACGCTGGTAAACGGAGCGACCAGTACCTTGAGCTCGCTTGCCTGCTGCGAGACTCTGGCCTTTGGCGACCCGTTCTTGATGCAATCGAGTTCACGGCAGGCTTGGTGGCGCTCCAATTCCTTGCGTTCAAGATCGCATTTGACCTCGCGCAGTTGCTGCTTGTACGCAGCAAGTTGGTCTTTGTAGCTTGCTGCCAGAGATTCGGCCTTGGTCTTGGCGTCAATGGCCCGTGCTAACGCTTCCGTCTCGTTCACCTTGGAACTTGACGCCGAAGTTTCCGTGAGGAGTCGACTGACGAAGCCCTTGAGGTATTCGCACTCGTCGCGCAAATGGGAGTTGACGGTGGTGTCTGTGGCAGCCTCTGGGGTCAACGGCTGCGTGCCCGATTGGTACCACTCGTTAATTTCGCAGTAGAGATCTTCGGGTAGCTTGACTTCAATGGTACCGATCGCTTCGATCGCGGCCTGAGCGTCGTGTGATGCATCTGCCAGACGTCGACGATGAGGTGCAAGACCCAGCACGAATGCAAGTACTGGTACCTGGGAGCAGCGTGTGCAGCGTGCTCAAGAGGGAGCTCCAGTGGCTCAGCACGGTGCGTGTACGAGCGTCGACGACGTGGCGATGCGCGAAGAGCTCGCTGCACTTGGTCTCCAGAAACTGGATCCGGCGGTTCTTCTCACCAAGGACTTCCCGCAGTGCAGTGTTCCGCGCCCGGAGCTGCTTGTCGGTCTCGATGGGGTCGCCTTCCTCTTCCTCCTTGCTGCCTCCCTCGTCGACCTCTTGCCGCTTGGTCCGTTTCCCCGAGACCTGCGGCGGCTCGTCCGCGTCGCCTTCTCGCTTCCGTCGGTGGTCCATCGTATATTGCCCAGCCAGCAACCGTATTAATATTCTTCATTTTTTACTCTTTGAATTTGTATGCCATCTGGGGATATTTTAGTCGGCCAAACACACGCAATTGGTGTAAAAGTCGTGAGACTCGGTTATTCACGTGAAAAACATAAACATCACCGTGCTAAACAGCTTCCTCAACACCTGACGGTACACATTTCATACGCACACGACACGTTGTGAAACGAGAAATTTGGGACAAACTCGCAGCATCATTTGGTTTTGCGCTCATTGAGCGTGAGCTTGACATGCAGCTGATAGTCGCCGCCGGCGCCAGCGACGTCGGGCGATACAACGTTCATCTGGATGGCCTTGGCGACACAAATCTACGCGGCCATATACACGAGCCATGCTTTCCCACGCGTAGTACCTCGCCCAGCGCCAGCTCAATCGAGGCCGGCTTGAGGAACGCCGCGACGTCGACAATCATAGAGAGCCACAGGACTACATGAAAGAGTACGGTGTGAATCACACACTGTGGTGCGACGCACTACTACTTGATGAGGTGGTTTCTGCTGCAGTGTCCAGCACTGGCCGCACTTCGCTGACTTTTACGACAAGCCCTTGAACTACAGTCGAACATCGTCATTTTCTATGCTCACACGAGCAGCAGCGCCACGGGACGTACACTTCAGGCGGTCGCGCAATGCCACGGATGGAGCCAAAGAGTGACGGGCCATCTCGTACCCGCGGCAATTGCCGTTGACTGCGACTTCTGCAAGGGTCTCATGTAGCAAGCCCGATGCGATCTCGACTGTGACAGCAAACTTGGGACCAGCGTCGGTAGGCTCTGGAAGACCAAGTACAGTCACTGCTGCCGTAAGGTCGACCGAACGCTCCCCACCAAAGTCGACGTTCTTGGCGGCCTCTCGCTCCTTGTCTCGAATCACGATGTCATCCACGACCTCAAGCATCGGCAGCTGCGTGAGGAGGGCATGCCGGTACCCGCGACAGAGAGCGATAGGATTCCCGACAAGGAAGACGTGGCGCAGATGTGGAAGGTCTCGAAGCGCGTTCATGAGCGCATCGAGGGCGACAAGCTTGTTAAAGGAGAGATCCAGTGACAGCAACGAGGTCGGCAAAGTAGGACACACTGCAAAGGCATTGAGTCCCAAGCCCAGGTGCACGAGCTGCGGACACATCAAACGCACGTCCGAGAGCGCGTTGTTGTACGCATCGACTTCGAGAACTGACGCCGGCAGGTGCTCGAGGAGAGCGAGGTTGTTGTCGCTCAAGTCGATGCGCTCGAGGTGCTGGAGTCGCCGGGCAAAGTTACTGTCGATGGCCTCGATCCCAAGTTTGGTGAGGCGTAGATTGCGAACGGCGCGGACGACGTTGCTCGGATCGTGGCCCAGGGCCATGATCTCGGGCAGTTCGTTGCACCAATCAAGTGAGCATGCCTCCAAGTCGGAGTACGTGTCGCTTAGCGTGCATCGAAGGTACCCAAGCTCCTCTTCCTCGTCTTCTTTCGCCGCGGCAGCGGCAGCAGCTGCTGCTTGCGCGGCTGCTGCCTCGGCCAACGCCGCTGCCGCTGCAGCCGCCGCCGCCGCTTCTTTTTTTGACGGAGACGGAAGACGCGACCCGGAGCTTGATGGTGTTATCGCGCGCTCATCGCGCCGACCGCTCACTTGGACGGTCACGGGGCGCGATTTGTTTGCTTTTTCAGACACCGAGAGTCGTGCTTTGGGGTCGAGCGCCGTCTTGGAGTCGGACGCCGTGAGTAAGATCGGCACTATCTCTGGAGCCTGCGCTGGCGGCGGCGCCTCAGTCGCCCTGGAGGCGTTGGCGAGGCGCACGTCAAATGCTGCGAGCTCGCGTTGGCACTCGCGAAAATCCTCGACTGCGTCGTCAGCATTGTTGGCGGGCGACCTCTTCACGAGCGTTGCGGACTGGCCTGTTGTGTCGTGGCGCAACGAGATACCAACGGTCGCAAGCAACATGAGCTCCAAGGCCGAGCTGGCATGCATGGGCTGGTCCATCGTTCCTTGTCTGTTCTCACGAGCCGTTTCACATTAAGCGCAGCATCGAACCAGGCATCGCGGTTCAATGGATCCACCGCTTAATAAACATTTCACGAGCAATTACCTGGTACTTTATCGCTGCGGACACCTCTACGCTCAGCATCTTTCTGGCCCGTGAAGGGCGGACGCTACCATATATGGGACGCTACTGTGTCACATTATGAGCAGTGTAGGCTACAAAATCGGCGATCCTGCGTTCCTCCTCGTCTTTTGCGTGCAGGTCGGCATCTCTTTTCAATACGTCGAAACTTGAAGGGCACAAGATTTGATATTTAGTTAAGGAATACAACTTAAACTACAAGTACTTGTTCTTAATGACAAATGTTAGTATCAATCGACTCCGAGCGCGCATGTGACCGCGACGGGTTCCTATCATTTGGTACCGCTTGCTATATGCAGACAATAGCAGCAAATCGAAATGGGGAGTTCGATTCTCTGTGGCAGATTTGCCTGCAAAAGTGCGACTACTTAATAAGGGTCAGGCCACGGCAAAGTGGTCTTACAATTTATCCATCAACATTGATCAGTCCCTCAGGATAAGCATCATTCCCTTTTTCTAACAGCTATCATGTAGTGTAGTGTGGGGAATCCAGCATAACGCCGCACGGACATGCTACGCTATGGGGAATCCAGCATAACGCCGCACGGACATGCTACGCTATGTGATTCTCTGTGGCAGATTTGCCTGCAAAAGTGCGACTACTTAATAAGGGTCAGGCCACGGCAAAGTGGTCTTACAATTTATCCATCAACATTGATCAGTCCCTCAGGATAAGCATCATTCCCTTTTTTCTAACAGCTATCATGTAGTGTAGTGTGGGGAATCCAGCATAACGCCGCACGGACATGCTACGCTATGTGCCTACTTCCCAGGCGAAATTACTTCCGCCCGCATTGCTTTTCCTGCCAAATGTTCGAAACAGTCTTCATTTGAAAGAGAAGGAGTTCGGACCGTTGATTGACAGGAAGCCCTAAACATCTAGAGACGGCTGTGTCAAGTACTCTGTCAAAATGCTAATGACGAGACAGTTGCCAGCTCGCACTCACAAATGACTGGCTACCGACAAGTCTCATTCAAGTGCGGTCCAACCGCCAAACCTATTAAGTTGGAGCGTACCTATGTGACGTACACCCGGATATCATCCGGATAGAAACCACGCGGTACATGCACTGGCGCATCTGTCCATACGCAATTGCACGATACATCCATATACAGTCCAAGAAAATGTGCTGACAAGCTTGAGCGGCATAACCTGGAGTGCCGACGAGGAGCCGTGGATGCCCACGGTTGCTCCGCTGGTTCTGAATGCTTGATGCCTTGTGCGAGTGTGCAAGCGCTAGCCAAACCCATTTAGTAGTAGTTTCGAGGGCATCGGAAATAAGGTCGTACCTAACGTATTCTATTGTGTAGTACATTTGCAAAGTCACACTCGCATTCAGTGGCGGCCGTGGCCACATCGCCTTCGCGAGGCGCTCGCGGTATAATGGTTGTCATGAGTGCAGGAGCAGAGGGATTGATATTTGTAGCGCTATCTTCTGCACCCCTGTCCTTCGCTGGAACCTTGCCACGTTTGTCCACGGCAAAAATCACACAGTGCCAGAAGATCTCAAATGGATACTGCATCCGGATACGCGCACATGAGGATCGGTTCCGGGCTGCGCCATCGGCTCCGGCGCCCGTCGTGTCACAACTCATTCTCCATGGCGCACAAGACCTTCCTTGAGCGCGAACCGTACACGGCGCCTACGTGGGCCACGGAGCTCGCGAACGCGCCCAAGGAGCGCGTCGTTCTCGGCAACTTTCCGACGCCCATCTACCCGTTCCGGCCGCCGGGACTGCCCGCGGACGTGACCATGTATATCAAGCGCGATGTACACACGTCTACGCTAGCCCCTGTGCTCACTGTTGCCCTGCAATAGGACTACAGCGGCCTCGAGATCTCGGGCAACAAGGCTCGAAAGCTTGAGTTTTTGCTAGCGGAGGCGCTCGCGCAAGGTGCGGACTGTGTCGTTACGTGCGGCGGAATCCAAAGCAACCATTGCCGCGCGACTGCTGTCGCTGCCCGCATGCTTGGCTTGGATGCTACGATCATCTTGCGCGCGGACGATCCAACGGCGGACCCCGGCCTCGTCGGCAACCTTCTCATTGATCGGTGCGACGTCGGATCGTCGTCTTTTGTTGCTTATCACTATCACGTAGTCTTGTGGGTGCCGAGCTTCTCATGGTGTCGCGGAGCGATTATGCGAAGCATGGCGGTGGCGATTACTTCATCGAGGTATGCGTTTTACGTGCTCTTGCCTCACCTTGTGGATTGAAAACGTGCGAGCGCCTCCGCGCGCAGGGCCGCAAGCCGTACGGGATCCCTGTCGGTGGCAGCAACGGTGTCGGGACGTGGGGCTACATCGAAAGCATTGAAGAGATGGAGCACCAGATCCAGGTACACCCACCTTTATGGCATAGCCTTGTTTGACATTGATCCCATTGCAGCACTTGAAACTTGGCGTGACGGACGTAGCGTTTGCCTGCGGGAGCGGTGGGTCCGCAGCCGGTATTGGTGCTGGCGCGTTCCTCTACGCCAAGCATCACCCGTCGAGCGCACTGCAGTTCCACACCAAGCCCCCGGGTACGAGGCTTGCTGTGTCTCAGTCTCCCCACGGTGTGCCTATTAGTCCATTCGTACATTGTGTGTGACTCGCCCACGTACTTTTACGATTACATCGACACCAAGATTCTGCCGCACATGGGCCTCGCTTCGGGCTCGTTCGGATCGCGCGACTTTCTCCAAATGACGTACTGCGAGGGATGTGCGCGTCTGTGCATGTGACAAAATGCTTGAATAGGAACGCGATGGGTGTCGGGTATGCGCTCAGCACGCAGGACGAGCTTGCATACATCTCGCGCGTCGCCCGTGACACGGGTGTGCTCTTGGATCCGGTGTATTCGGGCAAGGCCCTCTACTTGCTCGTGAAGGATCTCCAGTCGCACCCCGAGGTTGGTCCTTTTCACCGGTAGATCTGACCGACACGTAGAAATTCGCGGGCAAAACCATCTTGTTTGTGCACACGGGGGGCATGTTCGGCCTCTTCGACAAGGCCTCCGAGCTCGATGCGGCAGCCATTGGCACTCCGTCGCTCTTCCAGTTTGACGCGTAAGCAGCCATGCATATATATACCCTGTGAATCATCTACTACTACCGGTGAATCCACGTTTGATTTGATGGTTTGCCGCTGTCATGATCAGCGGCACTTGATTGGCAGAAATCACGATGGTGCGAAGCGCGGATTGGGCATCCATTATTTGATTCAAACATGGCCGAGGTTGTTGTGGAGAGGGACCACCTGCGGCAGCAATACGATGAGCTCGAGTGTCTTCGAAGCATGTTTCCAGGTGACGATGAGCTCGTCATCGATGCGTATGTCCATGCTATCTACGAGTCTGCAGCAGCGGCGTCCAGCGCTGAGGCCATTACACTGCCACGACTGGTTGCCATCCTTCGGTTCCAGGTACAAGAACGCATGACCCTAAATTCTTATGCGTTTATGCAGACCTGCCTCATTGAGAACGCGGCACCCGAGCTCGAGCTGCAGTATCCGGCAACATACCCATCGTCGGCCATGGCCTTTGAGCTGCGCTGCCCGACATTGTCGCGAAGGGAGAAGCATTCCATTGTTGACCGCTTGGCGTCCATTGCAAACGACCAAGTTGGCGAAGTCGTGGCCTTACAGCTCTACCAGGCTGCCGCTGAGATCCTCCAAGAGATTCAAGACGAAGCACATCTCGAGGCGCCAGCGCTCGCATTGCAGCCACTCGTCCCGATCGCGCAACCTTGCCTCGGGCGCCGCGCCATTTACTTCCACCACATTATCGCCAGTAGCAAGCGACGCGTGGTCATTGACTGGGCCAAAGAGCTCCATCTCGGTGGCTTTTCAAAAATCGGGTGGCCCGGCGTCATTATCGTCGAGGGCGATGAGCCGTGCGTTGCCGAGTACGTCCGGCGGCTCCAGCACCTCCGCTGGAAGCAAATGGTTGTTCGCGGCGAGCAAGTCGAGACGAGCTCAGAGGCCTTACGGCGCCTCCCATCGCCTCTGACGGAGCTCGATGACATGTCCATTCTTGCAGCTGCGTGTGCTGACGCCGGCGTCACCGACCTCTTCTTGACAACCATGAAAATCTACCGCTAATGCACACCGTCTGGGCACATTTTCTGGCTACACGAGAGGACACGAGTGCGTTTATTCGTCGTCGCTTTGGTTGAAAAATGACAAATGACGAGAGACGGACAGGCGACGCGCTCTTGTCGCGCTTCTTTCTGTCCTTTTTGTCTTTTTTGTGTTTTTTGTGCTTCTTCTTGTGCTTCTTCCTCTCGTCGTCTTCGCTGCTGTCGTCTTCGCTGCTGCTATGACGGGACTTGCGCTTCTTGGATTTCTTGGCCTGACGCTTGAGCACCTTGGCGCGCTCCGCGTCCAGAGCCTTGCGGTACTCGAGCATCTCCTTCTCCTCTTGCTTGGCACTGATCGCGAGCTTACCACCGTTCTCCTTCTTGAATTCTTCCCACGTCGGCCGGTTTGATGGTCCCGCGAGCCGCTCTGCCATCGACGGCTTCTCCTCCTGGCCCGTAACCATGCGCATGAAGGCGTCCATGGTCGCCGACTTGGCCTCGATCACCGTCGGCTCCAGCTGACCTGAGCGCAGTGCCTTCTGTCGCGCGAAGCGTGTGTCGTCGATCTCGCGGTCATGTACCTGCGAGTAGTCGACGCCCGACGACCGCTTGAGGCCAAAGTCCTCGTCCCGGTACCGCTTGCTGCTCATCCACCCGGTGCAATCTGGGTATCCGGATATGATCTTCGTATCCGAAACGTATAGCAGGACGGTTTTCGGAGGATTTCCGATCTTTCGACTTCTAGACGCGCCTCTTCGTCGAGTTTCTCTTCCAATCGAGTGCGTAATCAACGTAATCGTGCGTTTTCAGCTACCAATATTCGTCGTTTTTTAACCTTATGAGTCATTTCACTTATGTGGCGCGACTCGTACAAATACTGTACTAGTACTAGTACATGTACGTGCAACGACGCGTCATTTCGGCTACCATTCTGTTGCACCGCGATAGCTCGTGATACATGGTCTTACACCAAGTCGGCAATCGGTTTTTCGCTGGGTGGCGTGCGGAGCTCGTCAAAGTCTCTCGGCGCATTGGCCCCCGAGGTCTCGCCCTTTGGTGGCAGCTGCGTCGGCTCTTTCAGCGCGTAGACAGCAGTGCCGACGTAGTTGAGGGCGAGGGCCAGCCAGTAGATGCCAGGGACGGCGTCGCCAAAGCACACGTAGTTCATCGCGGCGTTGTAAATGTCGGCCGTGAGCAGCGAGAGATTGAACATGAGCGACTCGGTCACGCGGAGGAAGATGTTGACGACGACGTAGAAGATGAACATGGCAAGAACGTAGCCAGCCGTGTACCCAATGTTGACGCCGGACCAGTCGACGGCCGCGACTGTGTCTCGCTCAAAGATGGCGACTTGGATCGCTGAAACGACTGCGGCCGTCGCGCCAAGCTTCCCGAGGCACTCGACGTTGGCGTCCAAGCCGCCGCGCTTGACGGCGTACTCACTCATCAGGTTGGAGACACCGTAGAGAAATGCAGCCGCCAGCGACCACGCGTTCCCTTTGGCTTGGTCTGGGTACTCGGCGCTCTCGTTGTTGTGGGCGAAGATGACGACGCACCCGGCAAATGCAAACGCACATCCGACCATGTGCAGTGCGTGGTATCGCTTCCGGAGTACAACGTAGCTCAGGAGCGTGACGAAAGGCACTGTCATGTGCAGAATGAGCCCAAGGACGGCAAAGTTGACGACGCCGCGGAACGCGAGGACGCAAAAGTAGTTGGCTTCGACGTCCACGAAGCCAAGGAGCCACCAGTACCACCACGGCAAGTGCACGGACGGCCGGCGCTGCGCATAAAAGTACGAGGCAAAGATGAGGCCGAGAGCCACGTAGAGGAAGAGCGTCTGGAACGTTGGCGCGCTCGCGTTGTTGCGCGAGAGGTATTGCGAGAAGACGCCGGTGGCCGTGAGGCAGACCGAAATGCCTTGGCCGAACGCGAGGTTCACGCCCTGGCGCTTCAAGTCCGTCTTGGTGACCATGCCACTGCCTTGGCGAAATGCGGAATGGAGGCTGCCGTGAGGGATTGGCGAGGATCTGTTTTTTCGAACGGCTGCGGCTTCGATATTTTTGTTTGATGATTTTATTCCTTCAATTGAGCTGTCCTTGCTTTGTCTAATTTGGAAGCAATGCGTGCTTGGAGCTTGAATCGAAAGCCTCCATAAAATCCTATCCAACACATGAACCCTCCCACGCAAGGCTGACAATCGCCTAGCGGCAACCAGTGTCGGCGGGATTGACGGAATGTGGTCAGTGTTGAATCGCATGAAAGAGACCGGACTGAAACCATGGCGAACGATAAGCCTTGTCGCATTCAAAAGCATAACGCTGCGATCGTCTTTCAGGACCGAGTGACGTCCTTCGTTGCCTAGTAACACTTGCACTAGGTAGTATCATCTCCAAAGACGAGGCTTTGCGCAGCTCAGAGGGATATGCGGGGTGGTTGGTCATGTTACCGTGATGCACCATTTTCGCCCAGTGGCTTGGCGCTACGATGGGGACACACACAGGCTGCCACGTCATGAGAATCCATTTCACTGAAATGTACTATGTATGCTCTTTCCGGAACTTGTCGTCCTTGATCTTGTTGAGCGTGGCCGAGATAGATGATTTCGTGTACTGAACCTTGGTGATGCGGCTCGCGACTTGGTCGTGGTCCGCCTCAATGCTCGCACTCTCCAGCGCAATCTGCGTGTGGGGCTGCGCCAAGACAAAACCAAGTCGTCCTTTCGCAAGACCACGTCTCGTTTGGGTACTGTGTACACGTACGGCAGCGATGACGCGCTGTCCGTGTCGCGGTACAGACCAATCGCGACGACGCTTTCGAACGCTAGGAGATAGCCAAATAGGTCTCCGAATGTCTTGCCTGCAAAGGTCGATGGCAGCGAAATCTGGTTGAGCGAGCTTGAGACGACGATGTGCCCGTCGTCGTCGCCGACGTAGCGCTGGTCCATGCACAGCAGCTCCTGCGTGAAACGGATGAGCTCGGGCGTAAAGAAGCTCTGGCAGAGCAAGCTGTCGAAGACGTCGGTCGAAACACCGTAGCCGGCCGCGTAGAATGCCAATATCGCGTGGTGCGAGGACCCGAACGCTGGTCCCTTGTGCTTGCGCCGGATCGTCTGCAGGTTGCGTTGGCGCTCGGCGCGCGCTTTGGAGTGTTCCTGAAGGCTACACACACAATTGCTTAGACACCAGTCTGGGTCCTGTGGCGTACGATAGCACAACGCTGCTGCAGCGCTCCATGAGCGATGCCGGTCGACGATGGGTGGTGTCTTTGATGAGGGTGTATGGCCCCACGGATGATCGCCGTGGCGCGCTAGCCGTCGCTCGCAGTCTCTTCCCGAGCGTCGAGTCCATCACTTTCATCGTGCTACAGAATCCATCGCGTCCGTGATGCAAATCCGAGCCAAGCATACCTTGCGGCGACCATTTCAACAAGAACGGTAAAGTCCGCGCGCATGACGGCACCGTAGTTCTCGACAATCTTTTGCACGGTGAGGTACCGAAAGATGACGCGGCTGTCGAGGTTCTCGCCGTCCATGACACGCTGACCGGCCTTCTCGGCGAGCAGGACGCAGCATTTTGCCTACTTTGCGTCAGCTCTCAATCCTACCGACGATCCAACCTTGGTGATGCCAGCCTCAAAAAACGACTCCTTCGAGTCGTCCGCGGCGTGGAGCAAGTAGACGCCTTCGTAGTGCCGCGCGACACGGAACGCGTCCATGATGCCTTGCTCCGACGTCGACATGAAGACGATCGGGTGGTAGTACTTGGAGCCAACCGTATAGTGGGCGAGCCGTAGTGGCTTGATGAACGTCTCGATCGGGACTTGCATCAAGTCGGAGACAACGAGAATGTGGTTGCGAATCTGCATGCTGTCGTCCAAAGGGTTCTCAGACCCAATCGGGCCGATGCGCACGTCCTCTAGCGACCGCTGGACCGGCTTCCGCGTCGAAACGAGTCGGGCATTTGCCTGAAGAAGCTCGTGTGGCGCCTTGTGGTGCTGCGTGTGCTTGATCGAATTGTGGGCAGTCGTTTGAAGCTTGCGGTCGATCGAGTGGCCTTTGGCAACCCACGCCTCGTAGCATTCGGAGCGACTCACAAGCTCTGCCACGTTCTTGCTTTCGCAGAGCACGTACAGCGTCATGGGGCGCTTCAGAATGTAGTGGCTGCCAGGGTTGACATACGTGTTTTGAATGGGCGACATCGACGGCTGTTTTCCCGATGGCGTCACCACTGACGGCCGCAGTGGCTTTAAAATTTCTTCTTTTAGCAGCTCGGTCCCGAGGTCCGCGATTGCATGAAGAAGCGACGCCGGCGCAGGACTTAAATACGTGGCAGCCGCTGGCTGGAACGACGATGTCTCTGGTAATACGTCTTCGTGGACGCCGACAAGGACGACTTCGCCGTCGAAGATGTCGTAAAGAACGTCGGCCGCTTTCGTGAAGCTGAGGTTGACGAGGTACTCAGGCACGGCCGTTGTATAGATCTCGAGGGACGTGCCAAGGAGGTACTCGCGGCGCCACTCGACCGCCGACTGACCCTCGGGCAAGATGGCGGACCGGAAGAGGTTGCAGACCAGCGTCGAGAGACCGGGACAGAGACAACTCTTGGCCAAGAGACTGAGTTTGTGCTGGTCGATGCACAAAATGTGGTGCAGTTCGTTCTACACGGCTGCCTTCGACGCCATCCTCTGGAACCATTGCCACGTACGTGGGTGGTAAAGTCAGCGTACGACGGGCTAATGATTTGAATGAACGTCTGCAACGCTACATCGTAAAATTGATAGACTTTTTGATGTGCCTCCAGGAGGCCGCACCTGGGCTGCAGTTTTCAAGCACGAGGGACCGAAGCACCGCGTTGGCGTCCTCGGAGACAGGGTCGGCCGCGTTCTTGTCGGTCAAAATGAAGGCCGCCTGCGCCTTGTCGACAGCGACGCGGTGAAGGTCTTCTTCGCTCAAGATGGAGCCTTTGACGTAAAACACCTTGCCCTAGTATTGGCTTCATACGTGCTAACGTAGTCAACGCCGTACCATAAAGAGCGGGTGGACGAGGAGGGCGCGAACATCTTCGCGGGGCTCAAACGGCGCCATGATGACGCACGGGATGCGGTTGACAGCCGCTTCGCCCGTCGCGCTGCTCACGATGCGGTCTGGGTGGTAAAACTCGGTGAAAAACTCGGTGAGAACTGTCGCGTTGGCCGTGTGCCCGAGAACGAGCACGTGTGGGTTGTTGAGCTCTGGTACGTACGTCTTCCGGAACGGCGACTGCATCGCGAGCAGCGAGAGGAGGTTGTTGACTTCTTGGGGCACGAGGATGAGTGAGGCTACAATGACGCTGCATGCCACGAGCTTGCCGTACGTCGTGTGCGGCCTAGAACACCATATTCTGCGTGGGGTCTCTTCAAGCAGCGTCGTACGCAATGTCGCCGTAGCCCACGGTCGAGATGGTGACGAGGATAAAGTAGAACGCGTCACCGAGCGAGAGCTGCTCGTCGTCCATGTCTCGCGCGTAGTTTTCGACGGTTTGGAACAAACACGCCGAAATGAAGAGGATGCTCGTGACCAGGAGGGCCAAGCCCGCGAGCTGTTTCTGCACCGCTACAACAACGCTGAGGAGAGCGTTGAGCCGGCTTCGTACCGGAAATACGGCGGTGGGAGCTCGTCCGCGACAACTGGATCGCTTTCATGACCCGCAGCACGCGCACAAAGCGGAAGAACGCAAACGTGGGCTGCGCGTGGGTGCGCGGCGAGGCCAACGAGGTCGTCGTAAAGTCGTAGAGCGACGGAATGATGGCGAGCACGTCGATGATGGCATTGAACGTGAATGGGAAGAGGACGCTACGCGCCAAAATAAGATCCGATCGAAACGAAGAGCGCGTACCGGTCCTCGGCGCAGTAGAAGCGGATGAGGTAGTCGGCGGCAAACACGGCGATGAACGTCATGTCGAGCGCCGACGACCGAACTTGGTCGTTGTAGCTCTGGACGATGTAGAGCCCGCACGCCACGAGCGACGTGATGGTCTGGAAGAGATCCCACGCTTGTCCGACAGGCGAGTTTTCGAGCTTGATGCGCACGCGCGTCCGGAGGCTAAAGCCCTTGGGAATACCGTGGAAAAAGTCCCAGTGGCCGCTGCCGCAGAACTTCTGGCTAAAGCTCGGCGGCTCCGTTGTCCGCTGCCGCTCGCTCCGGAAGCTCCGCTGCATCGTCCGCGACGGCCGGCGGTCCGCGGTTGCCATCGCGACTCTTCGCTATCGCACTTGATCGAGCACTCTACTTTATCCCAGATAGTCGGATGCCAGTTTGGATTAGGTGCGTATCTTTGCATGGCGGCGACGTGGCGCAAGGTGCTGCGGCAGACGTCGGTGCTCTTGTCGCCATCCGCGACGCGGCCATCGCTGCGGAAGATCCACGGTGCGTACGTATCGACGCCCGGACGCTTGTCAATGCGATGCTAGAGCCCTTGCCCAAGATCCCAGACCGTGTTAGCTGGCTGCTCATCGAGCTCATCACGTACGTCGACACGCATTGCAGCATCAGCGAGACATTGTACCGCGACCAAGGCCGCGACGCCGATGTCTCGGAGCTCTTCAAGCTCTTCCAGCACCACGCGTCGACGACGAGCGCGCCCATCTCGGAGCGCCTGCCCGCCTTCTCATCTGCCGTGCTCACGACCGTGATCGTCCAGGTTGTCCTTTCAAGCCCTGATGATGAATTCCACTCAGCGTTGAGCTAGATTCTGCACACATACGAGCCACTGCTATCGTACACCGTCTCCCAAGAGCTCTTGGAGCGAGGCAGTACGGTCGAAGCCATTGCCACGGCCAAAGGTCCGTTCCACAAGCCGCCAAGTGCTCCGCGTCCTGCTCAGTCACCTCGCACGCGTACGACCCTCTGAATGCCTGCAGTCTACGAGCACCCAGTGCACAGGCAGCGTCCCGTCTCGATGTGCGCAAGCCAGTCAAGCACTTGAGTCGCCTCGTGGGTCTGCACGTCGTCAGGCCCTTTGAGGACCACGTTTATCTTAACCAACGTACGCTACACGCTTGATCGCTGGTGCTCTAGCGTATTTACGACTAGGCGATGTTGTCAAGGCGCGCGTTCTGCTCTCCAACGCGCTCATTGCGGGTGCGGCGAGCTGGCCGTACGACTGCCATGCATCCATGCCCACGGACAAGGAGCTCCTCTTTCTGCTCAAGCTGCAATGGCCAGAGGGCGCGATCGCGTCGGAAGACCAATTGCTTGTACCGCTTTGATCTTGTGCAATAGAGTAACTTATCCCTGAGGCGTAGCGCTGTCTGAGCAAGTACGGCGCCGTCGAGTCCATCGAGTGTGACCTCGGGAGCCGCAAGTACAGTAGTGCTCTCACCTCGATCTCTCCAAGCGACGCGATTTCGTAGAGCCAAAGTTTGTTTGCGTCTTCGGTCGTCCAAGCCTTTGCATCAAACAGTACTCAAGCTCCACTCAAAAGCGCGCATCTACGTCGTCTGCGCCGCATTGCAGCACGAGGCAGACGCGGCGCCGGAGGTCATCTCGCTGCCAACTGCCTGCCTCAAGATGGACACGACTCCGGGGGATCGCGCACCAAACGCCACCTCGACCAACGGCGTGCCACCTGTGGAGATGGTTGACTGCAGTAGCATGGCTGTTGTTACCTCGATGGACGCTGCTGTCAACACTATGCCAATGGCACACAATCCCGTCGCCACCCCCGTTGACTCAGTAGCTGTTCAGATGGACGACAATAGCGTGGGAACGACCACGACCAGCTGCCAGTGCGACACCGTTGCAATTGGTGTGGACGAGAGCAGCCAAACAACGGCAGAGACGGACGGCGGTCCCGATGGCCTGCAGCTCGCGACCAAATATGCGCACATGCAGCACCAGCTAGGCCGGCTACGCGGTGTTCTGGCGGCGACAACGGCTACTGAATCGCAAGAGCGGTGCTCCGAGCCGCTCGTACCAGTTTTGGAGCAGCTTCAGCAGGAGACCTTGCGCCTTCTTGATGCCATCCTCGCCGATGCACCGTCCGAGGCGTTCGAGACACACATGGAGAAGCTACACGACAACCACGTCCACGCTATGGTGCGACATCATGAGCGTTTTCTTTAACGCACTGCTTCTCGATAGACCAAGGTTTTGGAAGCCGAGGTGCGTGCGTCGCAGGAGTTGCTGCGTCTCCATAAGGCGCAATACGACGCCCAGGCCAAACACGTACATATATTATATCTCTGGTCCACAGGTGCGCTCAACGTCGAAGATGATTTGTAGTGGGAAGTCGAGCTGACGACAGCCAAGCTGCTCCGTCTCGAAGCCGAGAAGCTCAATACGGACCTGCGGCAAGAGCTCCATTCGACGCGCAGTGAGCTTGCTTGCCACCTGGCGATGCTCTCGCACCTCCGACGGTGCCTGCATCTTGTCATTGGTGTACCGCGCGTCATCCTCAAGTAGGGACACTGCGACGCTGCACGAACGCGCGGTCGTGGCCGAGGCGCAGGCCGAGACCTTGGCGCGCGAGAAAGCAGACTTGGAGAACCAGGCGCTTTCTCTAAAGGACGTGGCGGCCAGAGCGCAGATGCGCGTCGAGACCTACAAGAACCAAGGTACTTGGTTGAAACCAACGACATATCGCAAGACCCTGTGCGTAGCGAGCAACCAAGACGACCAGCCAAGAGAAGTCGAGCCACCAGCGCGATCCACGGACGCACTAGCAACCGTGAAGGACGAGATGAGCCGACAGCTGCAACGCCAGATTGACACGGCACGGTAGTGTCGCTCATATCACGCAACACGTTCATGTAGCAGTTGGGCGGCGTAGGGCGGCGATTGCGGCCATGACAGCAAAGGATCCCGCGACACAGTACTTGTCGCACCAAGAAGAGACTTTGTCGATGCTACTGGGCCAGCTGGAGCAATCGCAGGCAGCACAAGAAGCAGGTGCGGATGCGGCGCTCTCGGGCGCACGGCGCAAGCTTCAGCAGCTCTACACACCGCCCGTCGATCTTGGCGACGACCGTGTCGACGCGTGGACTTTTGAGTTGCGACGAACTCTGGCGACGACCCAGCGCGGTGTCAGACGACCCACCTCCAACGCCGACTCGCTGAACGCCGCCAAAGAGTCCCTTCGACGCTTCCAGGCGACACTAAACCGCGCATGAGACGAAGCCCTGTATCTACGCTACTTGCATGCAAATGCTGCGATTCCAACCAGTCAGCCTCAATTCTGTGCTTATGGTTATGGTTCGCAACAGCGTGGCAGCAGCACTCGCCGTCGTTCGAGCCATAATATGTGACCGCTTTAGAGGTACGAGGGGCGTTTGGCTTTGAGCGGCCGAAAGCAGTCGTCGGGCACGGCGGCGGCGTCCGTCGCCACGGTAAAGCTGCGGGTCGAGACGCCGACAAAAGCTTTTTTCCCCGAGTTGTACCGAAAAAACTGCATCACACTGGAGGCGTCGAGCGTGTTTGGGCCGGACCCGAGCACTCTGCTCACGACGCCCGAGGTAGGGTCGAGCACGTACAGGCCGCGGTACGTCATTTTGCGGCTGTCAAGGGCCGATCCTTTGAGCGCCACGACAAAGTTTTCGCTCGGATGGGTCGAGAGCACGCCCAGCACCTTGGTTCGCTCCTTCTCACACGCGACGCCAGCCAAGAGCGTGTATTCGATCGCATTCTGAATGAGCTGGCGGTTCGACGGCTTGGAGGCTGCGACCTTGGGGTCATCGAGCGGCGCTCGCGCCTGGATCTGCAGGCGCCTCGTCTCGAGCTGCCGGAGACGCTGCGCCTTGATCTTCTCTGCCCGTAGCTCCGCGAGACGTTGCGATCGGTCGAGCGTTGGCGGTGCCTCGACGCCCACAAAATGTAGGTCCACAGACGTTGGCTGACGGACGACGGTCTCTTGTCTTGGGGCGAGGCGAAATTGCACGAGGCTCGCTACTCGATGACGTCAGATTCGCGTCTGCAAGGGGCGCTATCGATTGCTCGGGTGCTGCTTCAAGCGCTGCTGGTGCTGCTACCTCCGCCATCGTATGAAACGAATGCGCGCTTCGTCGAGCGGGGGACGTGTGCGGCGCAAACGAAGCCATGGCGACGTCGCTCGTGATTGGCGTTGGATACATCACTCCCGACGTCGTCAGCGCAGAATTGCATCGCGGTGGCGACGGTGGTGGCGGGCTTTTTGGCGGAGACGGTGGCGGAGACGGTGGCGGCGAGTCTGCCGCGACAGGCGGTGGCCGACGTCGGCGAGGGGGTACCGCTGGTGGCCCGCGTGCGATGGGCGGCCCCGTCTGAAGCTCTGACACCTCTGTTCCATGTTGTGCACTGGCACCGTCCAGGTTGGACGCGGTTGCGTTTCGCCCTGGCGATGGCTGAGAAAGGCTTGGCGCACCACCAGCGGTCACCTCCTCGACGTCGCTCGGCCGCGATGCGTTCGTGTCTTTTTGTCGTGGAGCGTGAGAAGCGGCGCAAGGTCGTCGGTTCGATCCACACGAGGCCACGGAGCTTCCCGTCGACTTTGCAATGACTGTCGAAGCGCACGAACGTCTTGGAAAGTCATTTTCTTGACCGTCGTCGCTCGGATGGCGTCGCTCGGCGCAAAGGCAAACATACTAGGTTGATCGCAAGAGACGTGCTTGCTGACGCTCTCGGACATGTCGTGTGTCGCAGATCCCAGCACACCAAATGCCTCACGTGTGAGCGACGAACCCGGGCTTTGGTCGGACGCCCCTAGCGTTGATTGCTGCGGCATTATACAGAGCGATTCCATAGACTCGACACTTTCTGGCGTCGCCTCTAGCGGCACCCCGCCGCTCGGATCGAGACACAAACCGAGATGGGGCGGCAACTCGAAGTGTTCTTCTTCGACCGTACTGTCTTGACACTCTGCAGCCGCGACGCAGTGTGAAGCTTCAAATGCCACTGGCGCGTCCGTTGATTGTCGAGTGTTTTGCGGCGTGGCCGGAGGTGTGGTTGGAGTCGCCAAAGGCGCGGTGGTACCAAGTGCTGCGTCGTTCCGATCCAGATCCCGTTCTGTTTCTCGAGACTCGTCAACCTCATTCTCCACAAAGACGCACGCTCTTGCTGGAGGTACGTCGCTTGGGATTCCGTGTTGCGGTGATTCAATTTCGCGAGACAAGAGGTGACTGGCTACAGCTCGGAGGTTCGCTGAGCTCTGTCGACGTCGGTCTGATACGCCTGTGGTGTTGGCTGCGAGCGCCGCCGCTTGCAGCTCCAGAAGTGCCCATGTCGTCTACGCGATTCATCGCACACTGCGATAGGTGACTGGTCGTACCGCTCCGAGTTTCGCTTTGTAGTTGGGCAGCGGATACGCGCTTGCAGCTTTGGATGGCGAGAGGGTCCTCACCAGCGTAAGACTCACTTGCGGCTCATGACGCTCGATGTCTCCTGGACTGTCGATTCTCTCGTTCTCTCCCAATGTTGTGGGCGATATGTCAGCACCCGCAGCCTTTGTCGACGCCAACTTGTCTGGCGTGGCGCTGAAGCTGACGGTAGTGCAATCTTGGTTGGGCGAGGCGCGCGACTTTAAGCTCGGTGGTGTGGCTGGTGCATCGGGCAAAACCAAGGCAGAAAACAAGAGTTTCTCGACACTCTTTCGATCCACGCTGACGCTTGTTTCAAGCGCCTCTGCTGGAGGCGGACTATGACTCCGAGATAGCGACGCTCGTTGCCCGTGCGAGGATGGACTGCAGCTCCACTTGGCGACGGGCGAGGACGGAGTGTTCGTCACGTGGAGTGCGGTTGAGAAAGAATCTTCAACAGGCGCTGCGGTTGGCGCGGTCTCGATGCTGGTCGCCAACCGCGTCGGGCAAGGCGACGCCAGACGTGGCACTTGGTGAGGCACGGGGCTCGTGTCTGGCAGCGGTATCTCGGCCGATGGCGACGCGTTGGTTTGGTTGTTTGTCGATACAAGGAGGCGCAGTGTGCAGGGCTCGTCGGAATCGACGTCGTCCGTCATCTTGGCGACGACCTCCTGCAGCGACTTGAGCACCTTGACCTTGGCTGGGCAAACGTACAAGAGAAACTTGTCGGGTGAATGCAGCCAGAGCACCATGATTTTCGCGTCGAACGCCAAGTGGAGGCACGCAGGTCGGCGCTCGTGGAGACACGCAATCGTGTCGGCAAGATCAACGACGCTGCCCAGTGTCGACGGTGGCCTCGCGATCGCAAGTGTCGGTGGCGGCGGCATGCCGACGCGGAAGTCGAGGCCGCAGTGATGGGCGTGGACGACCCACGGGCTCAGCGTCTCTTTCTTGAGATGCGATGACGACGGCGCGTCGAGGGACAAAAGTTGCGCGGCAAACGCAAAGCCGGCGTGCTCCTGTGCCGCCATCGAGAGCACCAGCTTCTTGGCCATGTCGAAACCGACGTGATAATGGACCGTTCCAAGAGCGCCAATCTATAAAGGTGCAAATTGCTGACTTGACGACCTGGATCACGCACGAAGACTAGCTACGACCACCGTCATGGTGGCTGAGCTGCCATCCCGTGGTGACGGTAGATGCGCGTCTTGCCAATGCTCCCGCTGATGAGGTGCGCGAGTAGTCTCGTTCCAAGCAATTGCACGCTGCCTCTGTGCGTCGTCGTACCTTGCATTCCATTTGATGTCGCCTACTTGATCCGCTGGTAAACTGGTATACTAGCACATAACACCAGAGGCTAAATGCATGCCGGCGCTTCAGCATCGCTGGATCCGTCGGTGGGTAGCAACTTGTGACTTTATTGTGCGAGCAAATGTCAACCCCGTCAAGATTCGAGCTCATACGAGGTGTGCTCAAGGGTTCCATGGTGTGCTGCGGGACTCACCTCTGACATGTGATATTCATCGACCATGTTATCGGATCTTGGAGGACATTGTGCGTTTGTAGCAATCGACGTGGCCGCATGCGTCCGTTCCGTTGCTGCGACGAGAGCCTAGGGCCGCTAGTCGACGTCTCGTCCCGCCTCCAGCTGCGCGAAGCCGTGCTTGTTGCCGACAGCAGCAGCATCGAGGCGCTGCAGTGGGCGGGCGGCTTGCCGTTCCTTCTCCAGAATCTTCAAATCGCGTCTGTCGTGCCGCTTGAAGACGTCGAGCGGTCGCCGGCCGCTGTCTTGAACCCGTTCCAGCTCGCGCGCCAGCCAAGCGTCGCTGTGCTGACATGCTCGGCCCTCGGCGACATCGAGGCGACACTGCGCGCGATGCTGCCGCACGTGACGCAGCTCGTCGTCTTGTCGACAATCCCGGAAGCGGCCCATGGCACGGCGTTCTCGTTCGAGGCCTTTCGCGCATCGCTCTTGCCTGCGACTGCCAAGGTCTACGTTGAGTACGTGCCCCTCATGTACGCACCGCTCAGCGAGAAAGATGGCGCCGACCCGAGCGTCTTTGTGCTCACGCACCCCACGTGCGCGGCCGCGTTTCCGCTCATGCGCACGCAGCTATCGGCGACGCCTGCGACGCACGTCAACGAGATTGCGCCGGCTGACATCCCGGAGGCTAGCCGCAAAGCGTTCAAGCTTCTCGCACAGGTCCTCGCCGGTATCCTCCTCCAGTGGCGCTTCCAGGTTGGTCTCGATTTGCTGAATCAAACTCATGGTGGACGCAGGTCAAAGACCGCATTTTCGCACTTGGTGGAACGTCGCTCAAGGTCGGCCACACACTGGTGCGCAAGGTCGTCCACTGCTCCGTGAACTCGTCGTGTGTACGTAGTTGCATACGCTGCACGAGATGCAAGGCGAGTGCACACCAGCAGACCTCAAGCAGCTGCAGCCAGCCCACTTGATTTTAATCGACCGGTACGTCGCCGCCGCACGTTGGACTCGAATGACATGATGTGCACAGGACGCTCGACCTTGCGACGCCGTCGTCGCATCAATTTTCGCTTCTGGATCGGATTCTACAGCAGCTCCCCAAGGCATCGACGCTACCTGTCGCGGTGCGACCATTCGATAGTTGTTGGTGTCGCTCAACCTACCTGTGTAGGAGCACATCACGCAGGTCGCGCCTCTGGACGCAGCGGCCGAGCTCGCGCCGAACCGTCTCTCTGTCCCCGCATCGGTGCGTCGTCTCTGTGCCCTAGGCGCCGCTGTACACACACGGTGTGTAGTGGCGTGGAGGCGTAAGCGTTTGCCACGGCCAAGACCCCACCGCCGCCGCCGCCGTGCGCAACCTTTTGAGCCACGGGCCCGTGAACGCGCTGCGAGAGCTCTCGACGAGTCTGCGCGCTGTCGCGATGGACCTTATCAAGTCCAAGGCGACGCCGACGCCGGAGAAAACGCCCAAGGACCAGCCGCTCCGCGGCCGTGACGTCGTCCAGCGATGGCTCGCGTGCATCGACGGCGCGTACGACCCCAAGGTGACGTGGCAGCACAAGAAGCTGCTGCAGCTTGGCCTCGCCGTGCTCGAGACAATGGGCCGAATGGAAGCCACGCAGGCGCTGTGGACACACGTGGCCAGCATTGAAAAGCGATATGCGCAGAGCCGCTTCCAGGGTGCGGCCGAGTGGATTCTTCCCGAGGTCGCCGACCTCGTCAACCATATCCTTTTCCCATGCATCTCCATATTGCAAAAGATCCATGCGAGCCTAACACAGATCCTTACATCACCGCGGGATCGATACGGCAAGGCATGGTGCTCGACGAGCCGCTGCTGTCGCTTGATGTGGTGTTGCAGCTCTTTGTCTACGCCTTTGCGATCGCTGGCAGCCACGAGATGGAAGACTACACGCGTGGCATGGTCCGGCAAGCGCTCCAGAAGGCCATTCTAGCCCACGTACGAAGAATCGCAACGTGCACACGTTGGATGTTGTGTTGTAGGACGGAAGCAGTGACCTCTTGCCGCAGGAGTTATGTCAGCTCTTGACGACTCGCAGCAGCACTAGCTGTGAAGCCCACGTGCCACTTGGCACCGAGGCGAGCCAAGACGACGACGACGGGTGGGGCTGGGACGACGATGCGGGCAAGGCCCCACCGTCGCCACCAGTCTCCGCATCACACGCGACGGTGGCCGCAGTCGACGCGTTTGTGGCGCATCTCGTACCCGTGCTCGAGGTCGGATCCGCCTTTTGGCTCGTCCTCACACGGCGGTAGGAGTGTGGACAGCTGTACCACGAAGTGGCTCCGACGCTCGCCAATGAGTTCGCTCTTGGACTGCTGCCGCAAGTCGTGGCGCAACTCGTGGACCCGTCGTGCCCGGCGATCAAGGACCTCCAGCACGTACGACCTTCAGTATGTGAACGTCTTGGCGTCAACCACCGTGTAGGTGACAGACGCCTCGGAGCAGCTCACACGCGCCGGCATCGACCTGCTCAAGACCGGTCTCAGGCACGCACGTCCAGTGTCAAACTTCCAACTGATCGTAGTATCTGCTAGTGTGTTTGGCTTGAGCGGCCAGGGCCTGAAGGGCGCACCGGCGGTTGTGCCACACCTCTCGACACCTGGAGCGGTCTGCGTCGTCTTTGTCATCGGCGGCATCTCGGCCCACGAAGTAGGCGCCATATCAAGTTGATACCTAACGCGGCGGCGTAGGTTCAGGCGATCGCAGACGTTATGAAGGGCCGGACGGACGTGCAACTCATTTTGGGCAGCACGACGCTATCGACACCGACGACGCTCTTGCGGCACCTCGTCGCGTCGTCGTAAATGCGCTGTACACTTGGCCGCGAGATCTCGCTCGAATTTAATCGTTGTTGTACGCCGCCATAATCTCTTCTAGTTGCCGAAACTACTTGCTGCCGTGCATCCAGCGGTAGATGGCCTCGGCCATGGCGTTGGAGCCGCGGGCGTCCGTCATGAATGCGTGCGGGAGGTCGACAGTCGTCGCGACGGCCTCGGGGAATGTCTGCGTCAAGTGCATCGCATGCGCCGTCGGGACCCAGTTGTCGACCTCGGAGAAGACGAGGCGCATCTTGTCCTGGTACGCGCCCATGAGCTCGTGATCAATGTCCTTGAGCTCGGCCATCTCGTGGCGCGCCATGTTGAGGACGTTCCGGATGACGTGGTGATTGAGCAGCGAGTGGGCGGCCGACTGCAACACCGCGCTTGGCCCGACAAAGAAAGGCAGGACCGCCTTGACGAGCGACGACGGAAGCCACTCGAAGGGACACACGAGCAGCGAGATGGGGTAGTAGAGGCGAAAGAAGGGCCCGAGGCGCCGGCCGCTTGCCGACTGCGCAATGTGCATCACTGCCGGCTGCAGCAAGACGACCTTGGAGACGCGGTGCGGGCAGTGCGCGAGCATGCCGAGCGCAATGTGCGCGCCGATCGAGTGGCCGACGAGGACGAGCTCGAGGAGCGGATTCGCCTTGAGCCGCGCGTCGATGTACGCGATCTTGTCCGATATCTGCGTCGAGAGGTCAAAGGTCCCGTTCCGGTGCAGCCACGGCATCGAGTGGCCCGTGTGCGAGAGGCCGACGACCTCGAACGAGCCGGCTCCAAGGGCATGCAGGTGACGCATCATGGGCTCGTAGAAGCCAGGCACACCGGGGTTTCCGGGCACGATAAGCACGAGCGTGTTTGTCGGCGCTGCCGCGGGCACGACGATCGTGTGCATGAGCCGGTCGTTGGCCAGCGAGACGATGCGGTCGCCCGCCACGGGCGTGAGCGGCCGCGCCTGGTAGAGCCATTTGCGCAGGAGCAGCGCCATTGAGGTGAGGGCAACGACGAGCCCGACTGCGACCGAAGGACCGACGTCGTCCGATGCCAATGCTTCCGAGCCAAACATCTTCGTAATCGCCAATGCTACGCTGGCAGCTGGTCATGCCCCGGTGCACAGTGAGAAAATCACAGCAGGCGAGGTGTGAAAACCGACCATGATCTGAGCACTGCAGACCTCTAATCACGTATTGGAGATCACATTCCATCGTCTGCGCTTTTGGTACACTCTGTCCCGCGCCGCTTGGCGTTGACAGTAGTGGATTGGTACCTGCACCATTTTGGCGGCACCGTACCCCGGTGTACACTTTGAATTTGAGTGGCGATCTTCGATGGACGACCTCACAGTGCGTCAAGACGTTAGGAGATTAGAGCTCCATTGCCAAACAAATTGAGGTCTTATCGGTAGTGTATGGAACTACGTAGTACCGGGCGGCTTACATTTAAGGTTATACTCTAGTAGTAGTAGTACTAGTACTAGTACATGGGATCCCGTCGGCCCTTGTCTGCGCCATACGTCCAGCAAACTGCAGCAGACTTCCACCCCAACTGCAGCGAACTTTCAACGTTCGTGGCATCGGTGCTTTACCCTCTCGTCGTCCACGACTGGCGCGTCTCTCCAAGATCGTCATTCGTCAGAATCGTTTTTACAACTCTCGCTGCGTTGTTTTCAGGGAATACCTCGCCACGCCTGGAATTTTTGCCGCAAAAACACCAAGTGTGGGTATGGCGCAGGTCGACGACGCCGAGCTGCGTCCGGGCCTCGCTCTCTACCGCCCACTCCCGACGCTGCTGCGCCTCGATGTCCTCCCATTCGGAATGCTCTATGCCACCTTTAGCGCGTGCGCGGCTGTGGCGCAGCGCGGCCATGGCTTTGCCGTCGGCCTCGCGCTCGTGGCCTGCACGCATGCGCTCACGTTCTTTGCGAGCGAATGGAGCCTTCGCGTCAAGTGCTTCGTGGCGTACTCGCGCATCTCCATTGCTGGCCTCTCGACGTACGACGACGTGGTCGTCAAGGTCGAGCCGGCCTTGCCGTCGCTGCCCGCGGAGCTTTGTCCGATTCGACGAGAGGCGCCGTCGCCCAAGCTGCAAGTGCAAAAGGTTCGTTTCCGCACTCTCGCAGCGCGTAATGGCGTTTGCAGGCGACAATACCGGTCCCCACGCTCTGGTTTGCCTACCAAAAGCTGCGCTTCTGCCTCGACACCTCCTTGACCGCGCCCGTGTGCTTCCGTCGACTCACGTACCCCATCAACAACGATCTGGCTGTGTACGTTGGCGCCAACGGCTACACGTCGCGCGTTGCGCTAGAAGCTGCTGGCTTGCGCTGGCAGAAGAACGAGTTTGAGATCCCGATGCCGGCCTTTTGGACGCTCCTCAAGCAGCACCTCGTCGCGCCCTTCTTCGTCTTTCAGGTGCACCCTAATGCTCTTAGCATCAGAGTGTGGATGTGCACGCTAGTTCTTCTGCATGCTGCTTTGGTGCATGGACGAGTACATGTACTACTCGCTGCTGACCATGGCGATGCTCGTGCTCTTCGAGTGCACGGTCGTCAAGCAGCGGCAGCACAACCTCGAGCTGCTCGCGCTCATGCAGCGGCCGCCGACGCTCGTCTACGCGTATCGAATGGTATGTTTGTTATAACAACACGCAATGGTGTCAAAAGCGTCCTAGACCAAGTGGCAACGCCTCTCGTCGACGGACCTCGTTCCGGGCGACCTCGTGTCGATCGGCCGCGCGACCGCGTTTGACGAGACGGACGACGTCGAGGGCGGCGTTGTCGCGCCGTGCGACCTCCTCCTTCTCCGCGGCGCGTGCGTGGTGAACGAGGCCATGCTCTCGGGCGAGTCGATTCCGCTGCGAAAGGAGCACGTCGACCCGCTCGAGTCCAGTGCGCTGCTCCTCAACGGACGGCACCGCAAACATGTGCTCTTTGGCGGCACCAAGGTAGCACGTGATTCTCGAGTCGACCGTCGCGTGCATCTCCATCTCCAGATCCTCCAACATACGCCGTACGCGCCGAGCGCCAGCGACCCACCGGACCACGGCTGCGTCGCGTTCGTCCTCCGCACGGGCTTTGGGACGACGCAGGTTGGACGTCAACGGCCGGTTGGATCTGCTCACGTTGTGCTGCGTAGGGCAAGATGCTGCGGACGATACTGCTGGCGTCGCCACACCTCTCGGCCAACAACACCGAGTCGCTGTGTTTTATCTTGTTTCTCGTCTGCTTCGCGCTCGCTGCGTCGCTCTACGTGCTGCTCGAGGTACTTCGAGCCATTCATTGCACACGACTCAAGAGAGGTAGGGCGCGGGCGACCCGACGCGCAGCAGCTACAAACTCTTCTTGCACTGCGTCATGATCATCACGTCGGTCGTGCCGCCCGAGCTGCCCATGGAGCTCTCGCTCGCCGTCACCAACTCGCTCCTCTCGCTCTCTCGCATGGACGTTTTCTGCACCGAGCCGTTCAAAATCCCAGTCGCAGGCAAGGTCGACGTCGTCTGCGTCGACAAGACGGGCACTCTCACGACGGACGCGCTCGCCCTCCGGGGTGTCGCGGGTCTCAGCGCCTCGTCGTTGCTCCCGCTTTCAGACCCGCGCACCCTTGTCTCTCCTGGGTCCCTGCCCATGGACGTCCAGATCGTCCTCGCGAGCTGCCACGCACTGGTACGACGCGATCATTGGCGCGAGCTCATGGCGCGTAGATTGTGCTCAACGGCGCCATCGCGGGCGACCCGCTGGAAAAGACGGTGCTCGCGCACCTAAACGACTGGACGCTGCACCAGCTCGACCGCGTCGCGGCGCGCTACCCGTTCAGCGTCCGATCGCTCCGCATCATCCATCGCTTTGGCTTCTCGTCCGAGCTGCGGCGCATGAGTGCACTCGTACGTCGCCCCATTTCGATTCCAAACAAGCGGGGACGAGCGCGTAGGTGCTGGTCGACGACGGTAGCGCCATCGGCCACGCGCGCGTCGTGTGCAAAGGCGCCCCCGAGGTCATGGAGCCGCTCTTCGCCCATGTAGTCGCATCCAAGTGGCGTACGTCTGACGCGCGGTAGGTGCCGTCGTACTACCGAGACGTGCACGAGCACTACGCTCGCAAAGGCGCGCGGGTGCTGGCGCTCGGTTTCAAGCGCGTGCCGATCTCGGACTTGGCGAGAACGCGCCACCTCGCCCGCGACGCCACCGAGACCAACTTGACGTTCGCCGGGTTTCTCGTCCTTGACTGCCCTCTGAAGCGTACAACGTACGATTGCGTGCATGATGTTTCTCACGACGCACGTAGCCGACTCGCGACGGGTCGTGCAAGACCTGCAGCTGGCCAACCACCGCGTCGTCATGGTCACCGGCGACAGCGCGCTCACCGCCAGCGACGTCGCGCGACAGGTTGTCTGCCTACTACTCCCGCAAGGATGTCATGATGACGTCAGGTGCATCTCTTGCCGCACGCAGAGACGCTGGTGCTGGAGCCCTCGACGAGTGGGCTTTTGTTCTGGACTTCTGCGACCGAGAAGTACCCGTTCACAGAAGCCGTACCGGATTGCCGGCCTGGACCACCGTCGCTCATATGTGCAACTAGACGCTGGCCACGCTGGCCGAGACGCACAACTTTTGCGTGCTCGGCAGCGCGGTCGCGAGCCTGTCGCCAACGTCGCTGCAAGCGCTGGCGCCGCTCACGCAAGTCTTTGCCCGCACGTCGCCCGATGAGAAGGCGCTCGTCCTCGCCGCCTTGAACGCGTACGTCCTAAATTCGCCACTCGATCCCGTCATCTTTGCTGCAGGGGCCGCAATATCACGGCCATGTGCGGCGACGGCACCAATGATGTTGGCGCGCTCGACGGCACCAATGATGTTGGCGCGCTCAAGAGGGCGCACGTCGGCATCTCGCTCGTGAACGGCCCGACGCGCCGGCGTCGCCGTTCACGTCGCGGGGCGAGAGTTTGCAGTGCGTCGTCGACGTCATTCGACAAGGCCGGTGCACGCTCGTGACGTCGCTGCAAATGTACAAGATCCTCGGCGTCAACTGCCTCGTCTCCGCGTACGTCCTCAGCGCCTTGTACGTCTACGGCGTCAAGCAGGGCGACACGCAGCTCACGTGCAGCGGGCTCCTCGTCGCGCTCTGCTTCCTCTTCCTCTCGTACGCCAAGCCCGCCTCGACTCTCAGCCACGAGCGTCCCGTGAGCCGCGTCTTTTGCGTGAGCGTTCTGAGCTCGATTCTGCTCCAGTTTGGCGTCCACCTCTGCAGCCTCGTGCTCGGCCTCTCGATCGCCGCGCCGCTTGTCGAGTGGAACGATCCGCGACTGCACGCTGACGCGAGCTTCACGCCCAATGCGCTCAACACACTCATGTTCCTCCTCGCGACGTGCATGCAAGTGACGACGTTCGTCGCCAACTACAAGGGCCGGCCCTTCATGGAGAGCTTCCGCGAGCACAAGCTTCTTGCGCGCTGCGCGTACGCTTCGTACGCGTTTGTTCTCGTCGCGCTCCTGGAGCTGTGGCCCGCCATGAACACGTGGCTTGAGCTCGTGCCGCTGGGATCAGATATGGTACTGCAGCGTCGTCGCCGGCACACAGTCGACTGAAAACGACGATTTTAGGTACAAGGCCAGGTGCTATGCCTCATGCTCTTTGATACGGTCGCCGTCCTCGCCCTCGAGCGCACGGTGCAAGTGCTCACGACGGCCTACCCCGAGTGGATGACTTAATGCATCGATGGGTCTTGCTACATCTTGGTATGGCTAGTACGCATGAGCTAATGCATTACCTGCGACTGGCGATGGCCAAGCCGCTCGCCCTCTCCGCGGCGGTAATGCTTGGCCGAACGCTGTTGGTCACTGCGTGACGCGCGCTGGGGTCGACACATCCATGGCGCCGAGGTCACCGTCCATGCTTGGGCGCGGTGAGGCAGCCTTGCGACCCAACCTCTCGGCTGCCTTGGCGCTCTGCAGCGACCCGTCGTGCATCCCATGGGCACGGGCCGTCCATCCTCCTTCTTCGACAACGTCACGCGATGGTATCCTGCCTCGATCGGCGATGCCATTGGGTATAATTGCGGTCAGTCAAGGCGCGGATTGGCCGAAATTAAGGAACGCCCCGGCTGGGGCGAATTATATTATTAATATGGCCGCCCACAACAAGTATCAGTCAGCGGGGACCATGGAGACGACGAAGCTGGCCGAGCTCCCGGCGCTGGCCGACGCGCCGCCCTCGGAGCGCATGAAGCTCTTCCGGCAGAAGCTGCGCCTCTGCTGCGTCGTGTATGACTTCAGCGACCCGAGGAAACAAGTCCGCGAAAAAGACGCCAAGCGGCTCGCGCTCCTCGAGCTCGTCCAGCTCCTCTCCGATGGCAAGGTCGCGTGGAGCCCGCAGATCGTCGAAGACCTCATGACATGCGTCGAGGCCAACATCAACCGGCCGCTCGGCGGCAAGCGTGTCGTGAAGAGCGCGGGCAAGGACAAGATCGAAGGTACACTCGACGGAGCGGCGACGCAACCTTGACACGCGTGCGGTAGGCGTCGACGAAGATGAGCCCGTGCTTGAAGAAGCATGGCCACACCTTCAACTCGTGTACGAGTTGCTGTACCGATTTGTGCTCGCCAAAGTCGACCCGAAGACCGCGAAGGACTACTTCTCGAAGCGCTTCATGCTGCAACTGCTCAACCTCTTCGACTCGGAGGACCCTCGCGAGCGTGACTACCTCAAGGTACTCCCTGAGAAGAAGGACAACTCGCTGAAGCAAGTGTATAGACCATCCTGCATCGCATTTACGGCAACTTTATGGCGCTCCGGTCCTTCATCCGCCGGTCCATCAACAACGTCTTCTTCACATTCATCTACGAGACGGGCCATTTCAACGGCGTCGTCGAGCTCCTGCAGATCCTCGGCAGCATCATCAATGGGTTTGCACTGCCGCTCAAGACGGAGCACCAAAAGTTCCTCGAGAAGGCTCTGATTCCGCTCCACAAGGTTGGCATCTCGCGTCGCGCCGATGTGGCTCAAGGGGTGTGTAGGCCTCGAACGTCGGGCAGTACCACCAGGAGCTTGCGTATTGCACTGCGCAGTTTGTCGAGAAGGACCCGACAACCGCAACGTCCATCATCCTGGGCCTCCTGCGTTTTTGGCCCGTCACGGCGAGCGCCAAGGAGGTACTGCGCTCTCTTTTGTGCCCAACTTGAACCAGCCCCATTAGATTCTCTTCCTGAACGAGCTCGAGGAGATCATCGAGTTAATACAACCCGAACAGTTTGCTCAAGTCGGACGCCGTCGTGACGCGGAAGGCCAAGCTCACGATTGATTGTAGGTCATGCGGCCGCTCTTCCTTCAGATTGGTCGTTCCATCACGAGCCCGCACTTCCAGGTGTCGCAGCGCGCCTTGTACCTCTGGAACAACGAGTCGCTCGTGAACCTCGTCGCCGTGCACCGCGTGGAGATCTTGCCCATGATCTTTGGCTCTTTGTACCACAACTGCGACAACCACTGGCACACGTACGCCCGTAGTCTTGGGTACCTCGGGCCATCGTCTGTCGTAGAACGGTGCAAAGCCTCACGTTCAACGTCCTCAAGCTCTTCATGGAGATGGACTCGCAGCTCTTTGACCAGTGTTCGGCGCAGCTCGTGGACCGCGAGAACAAGTACGACATCATTCCTCGTTGGCATCGTCGTGACGCTGGCGTAGGAAGCAGCAGGTGTGCGATGACCGGCTGCGTCGATGGCAGCAGCTTGAACAGCGCGTGCAGCCCTTCCGCCAGCAAGTGCGCTAAGCCTCGCCTTTCGTGGCGGCTCCTCTCTACGACCTTTTCTTGCATTCTCAATCTCGGGTTCTTGTATTACGTCGACGCTTTCATCATAAAGTTGGGGTCTCGTCGGTACTTGGCTTCAAAGCGCTCGATCCAGCGGTCGAGAAGGTTCGTCGGGATGACCATGAGCGATCGATCCGTGCTCGTTGAGAACGACGACATGAAGTTGAAGAGGTCCACCGCGATCTTGTGGGCAAAAGCCTTGCGCTCCGTGAGGCCGCTGGCTTCAATCCCGAGGTTCTTGACGTTGTCAACGCTACGCATGACGCAGTCCATGAGATCTGCAGCAGCTAAGTGATACGTACGGCTCGATGGAGACGCCGACTTGGATGACGGGCTGGTTGGCCACGTCCGGGTGCGTCGGCCACGACGTGCGAAAGATGGCGCTGGGCTTCTCGGCAAAGACGCTGCCGAGGAGCTGCCAGTTCTGCAAGTGCGGCACCGCAAAGTACAACACCGCTACGCCCACGTCAGTGCACCGCAGCCAGAAGAGGCGGCGTAGTACCGGCGTAGCCCAGCGGCACGGGCGAGTGCGGGAGGAGGAAGAACGTGATGTCGGTGACCTGCTCCGGGTATGGCACGTCGACGACGAACTGCGTCGGGCTGATCTCCCTACACGCACAGATCCACGTCATTCCCGCATCCTTGTCCATATCCAAACGCACGCAAAGTCCGTCACGACGGGCCGCCCCGCGATCACCATGCCAAACTGCGCCATCGGGTCAATATGGATATGACCAACGTCCGGTGTACTATACCGGATACACGGGCTCATCGTATCCGGATTCGAGAGAATTCTGGACTTGGCTTTGTCAAGTTGAAGTTGCATATTGCGGTCGATCCTTGTTTCAACATGATGATGACAAGCGTGCTATTAACGTTAGGCGTGTTGCGGGCCTCGACCATCACGAGGATGTCGTCCGAAGTGTTGGACGACAGCATCGGCGACGGTCCGCTCTCGAGCAGCGTCTCTTGGAGCTGCGCGAACGATGGATGCTGCAGCGACCGGCGGTGTCGGCGCTTCCGAATGCACAGGACGGCGATGATGACGAGACAGACGCCAACGACGACGATGCCCACTACAATAACGTACGTCCACCACGCCCAGAAGAAGCACGGCTTGGTGCCAGGCCAGCCACCGCTCACGAGGCTTCCGCTGCGCGTCGCCGGCGCCATGCACTCGCACCACGAACCGCCGCCTTGAGTTGTAATCGACTTGCTCGAGCTGGCCTTGTTGGCGCAGTTGTCGGCGACCGCAAAGCCCATGCGGGCACCCGCTCGATCGTGCACAATGTACAGACCGTCCATAAAGACGTTGCCGAGCATCGAGCCCGAGCCTTCCGAGATGCCGAAGATGCGGCAGTTGACTGTCGCAAAGCCGTTGGATGCCGCGAGCGGCCGCCAGTAGTATGTGGACGGGATCGTCACAGTAATTTGCTCGCCGGAACTTCCTTCCAGCGCAAGCGAAATCGAGATCGACGGCAAGTTCAGTAGCGGTGACGTCAGATCAGACGGGTCGCAGTAGCTCTCGCAGCACACGACGCTGTCGCTAAAGTAGCTCAGCGGAAAAGACGGGATCGCAGCCAGCGTCGCAGTGCGGATCTCGGCCAGCAGCGCCGTATAGGCTTGCGTCGGCAAGATGAGGTTGCTCGTGCCCGAGTCGACAATGGCCTACGTTACGTGAGATGCACAAGAGCCTTTGCACCGCGTACTTTGGGCGTGTTGAGCACGGCGCACGGAAGGTTGAGGGTGCGATTCCCGAAGCCCATGGCGGTCAGGACCACGACATACCACTTTTTCTACGCACTGGTTTTGGGTCTTGAATGACACAATCAAGCACGAACAACGACGAGCGGCGAGTAATGGATAGGGCCGCGATAGAGCTGCGTATTGGACGCTTGGATACCGCCAAGCACTACATGAGTACCGTTCGATCTCAATGGCTCGTAGGTTGGTGGTGACGCTGTACCGAGTTGGCCCGCGATGGGTAAATGACCACTGACGTGTGGCTGCAGAACGCCGCAGAGCTGGAGACCAAACACGTCGGCGATAATTTTGTTCTGGACCATGGATTCAAGGATGGTCGGCGGCGGGTTGCTCATGGGCTACAGCACGCTTCGTACGCCGTCGTCAAGAGCACAAGTATGTACCTCGGCGATCGAGCGAAAAGCCAAGCCCACGATGCCATCAAAGGTGCCGTCAAAAAAATTGTTTTGCGTCGAGATCGTTGCAAACGGAATGTTGGGCAGCGCCGATACATTGCTCGACGACATTGTGTCTTGGACCATATTGCCTCTAGCACCGCATACCGCATAACACGCAATCACGCAATCACGCACCATCGTACCTCCAGGAGCCGACGACGTAGCTGACATCGACGGCGTCATTCTTGGCATTCGCCTTGCAGGTGCTCGACGCAGCGCAGTTGAAGAGGCGCAGAGAGTTGAGACCGCTGCAGCAGCTTGCCGACGCCACCGCCAAATTTGACGAGCCCGTATCGATGAGCAATTTGAATGTGTTCTAAAGCACGTTGGTATTGCAGACTGGATGGCGTCGAGGCGTACATTAGCCGATGCCTTGGGCGCTGCATTCGAGTAGGTTGGTTGGCCGATCGTGATGCGCATGTAGTAGGCTAGTAGAGCGCGGTGCTGGCTAACGCTGTTATGTGGACACCACTTACATATGCCAGATGAGATGCCGTAGAGGTTCTCTTGGTAGACATCCGTGGCGCGGACGTAGGCCATCGCTAGCAGCACCAGCCAGCTGCGAAGGTCTCGACGCAGCATCGTGTCGGTTACCGCGGGCTTGGTTTTAGTGGCTGTTTTAAACTATAGACGTTTTTTTCCAAAATCATGCGTTTTAACCGTTTTGTCGAATCATTTTGGTAGTCCAACACCAGGTCTGACGCTAGGCGCGATCGGTGCTATACGTCGCTGTATACACTGCAGTAGGTGTTGACACAGCAAGTCGTCCATTTTGTTTGTTCGTGCTCATTTAACATGGAGCACGTTTTGTACCAAACAAGAATGGTCGTCCGAGAGTTTTAAACAGTCGTGCTGCAATAGCCAATGGCCTCACGTTCTGTGCAAGTTTCAACCAACTTTTGACCAATCGGCGAGCATACATGCACCCAATCCAGAGCGTCGAGGTCGGCAGTTCTAGCCAATCACCGGCGTTCCTGCCAGGCGAATCTCGGCATCTTTTACTTCGTTCATTTCTATACTAAAATCTAGTCAAGATTTGGCATCTGCGTTCTATTTGACTCTGGCGTGGCCAGCCGGTCTTGTGACAGGGACAAAGACCGACGAGCGACGATGGCGATGCACCGGACCTGGTGCATGCTGCTAGCATGGATGGCGCTAGCCCTAGCGCTCTCCAAGGACGAGCTCTGCGCGGTAGACATTGACTACTCGCAGCGCATGCTGCGGCTTGTGGACGTCGCGCCTGAGGCCGCAGCGCCGCGTGTGCTCTGCTTTGTCAATACAATCTCGGTGCACCACGACTCGCGCGTCAAAGCCGTTCGCGTGCGTTTCTACTCGCCCTCTTCCCGTAGCGCTCATCTGTGCTCGCGTAGGACACGTGGGGCCAGCGCTGCACGAAGCTGCTCTTCTTCAGCAACGCGACCGACCCTGCGCACGACGACATTGTCGAGCTCGACGTGCCCGCCGACCACAACCACTTGTGGCAGAAGCACAAGGCAACGCTCGCTTATATCTGGAAGACGTATCGGCACGACTTTGACTGGTTCTACAAGGCCGACGACGACGCGTACGTCGTGTACGAGAACCTGCTTGCGTTTTGCGCCAGCCGCAGGTCGTCATGGAGATGGAGCTCAAGCCGCTGCAGTTTGGTCACCGGTATAGCTTGACGAGCGACCTCATTGACTACTACATCGTCAACAAGAAGCTCCTGAGCGAGTACAAGAAGCGCACGCACCGCTGGGTCTTCAACTCGGGCGGCCCTGGGTACGTGCTGCGGCGACTGCCAGAGAAGAACGCTCACAACGTCTTTCTAGCTATGCCATGAACAAGCTCTACATGCAAAAGGTCGTCGAGTCCATGCACGAAGAGACGTGCTTGTCGGACAAGTACTGCGAGATGCTGCCGGACGACGCAGCGATTTCGTTTTGCATGGTCTTCCACGACACGCATCCGCCCAACACTCGGGATTTGTTTGGTCGCGAGCGCTGGCACGCCGACAAGCCCCGCGGTAGAGTTGCAAGTGTTTTTTCTAGCATTTTACACTTGGTTCTAGGCATCTACTACACGAACCCCAACCAACCCGACTACTGGATCGTCCAGTACCATCGCGACATTGGCGGTCTTCAGTGGAAAGACGACTGCTGCTCGTCCGAAAGCGTCGCGTTTCACTACATCTTGCCCGAGCTCATGTACCACATTGAGCGCCAGCTGTACTACTGCCGCAGCAGCGCGCCAGACCTGGAGAGCTTCAACGCAGCGACCGGACTCCACGTCTCGGACCAGATCCTCGTGCCAGCCGAGCTCGCTATCGACTATGGTCCGTTCCCTGTCGACGATCTCTAGACGTGGTGGTGAATCTTGAACATCGAAAATGTGTCGTTCATATGACCCGATCGATGGTGATGTGGTGCGAGGACGAGCCATGGTCGAGGATGGCGTCAGCAAAGATAGATACTCATTCATCTTCAATAGCGACAACTTATGGTCCACGAGATGACTGACCTCTGCATAAACAGCAGGGACCCATCATTAGTGGGGGCCCATGAGTCATGAGTCATTTTCGGGTTGCCAAGGACGAGTGATGAGCACAACCTGGTCGTTCGCGATATACCGTCGGTACTGGGTACTGGGCACCCAGACAAGGTGGTCAAATCACGCGCATCCCCATCATGAGTCCCACACGACAGGCTTGCAGACTCATCGAGCACAACGTCGACCGAGACCCACTCTACCGACTACCGACGTGCTATATAATTTTGATGCAGTTCGTCTATTGCGGCACGCTGGAACCTACTAGCCTGCGACGAAAAGCAAAATGGGATCGAGAAGACATTGGCGAAATCGTGTGGGGCGCAACACCAAACCATAGATTCAGGCGAACTCGGATTTGACAGCTGGCACGTTGTGCGTCCGCCACGTACTCGCCTCTCGTGCCGCCACGTCATGTTCTTTGTCACTGAACCGATGCTGGGCAGATTCTTGCGCCGCATCGACGCATCGGAGGTTTCTGAGAGGGGTTGTGGTATCTCCGAGGTGATGGCTCAAGTCTTCGTTGACCAGATATTAATATTGAATAAATTATGTACCGACAGCGGACTGCGATCGCCCGGTCTTCTACGACGATGTAGAACTACGACGCTTCTACTTTTTGGCTTTGCCGCCGTGAGCCCAGCAGTAGCCGCCGGTCTTGGGGCCTTTTGCGCACCCTTCCTTGAGGCACATGCGCTTCCCGCCGTGGCTCCAGCAGACGCCGTACTTGCGCGACGCGTTGTGGCAGCCCAGCACCGTGCAGCGCTTCCCACCGCCGTGACTAATACAGTGGCCCATGCTGACCGCGTGCTTGGCGCAGCCGTCCTTGGCGCAGCGAATGCCGCCGCCGTGGGCGATGCAGACGCCGCCGGCCTTGGCCCGTTTGGCGCAGCCGTGGACGGAGCAGAGCTTGATGCCCACGTCGTTGCGCTTGATGGGCTTGGTGTACGGCGAGTGCGTCGGCGTTAGCAGGGTTTCGCGAAGCGGCGGCAGCTGCGGCGAGCTCACGCGGGGTGAGGCCGTTGCGTGGTTGCGAAAGACGACGTCAAAGGCGGGGAGGAGGCGCGGCGACGCGACGCACTCCATGACGCTCATTGGGCTCGGGAGGCTCGGGAAGTCGTGCGCGTGGAGGCGGCTGTACGACAGTGTCATGAGCATGCTTGGGCGCTGCATGGTGAAATCCAATCTGACCGACGAACGCCACGCGTGTCGAAAATTCTCGTCCTTTGGCATGTATCGGTTCTCTGCTTGGAGGACTTTATTTTATTTCTTCGTCCTTGCTACAGTTACGAGGGCATCAACTTTAAAAATGCGCTGGGAGCATCACTGCAATCCCCATGCTACTGGCGGATCGCGACATGCACCAATCGGCGGGCGCGACGCTGCCGCCGCGCCAATCCGAATCGGCGAAGAAGCACCGCTTCAACTACGCGAATCCAAGCACCAAAGATCGCATTTCCAAGGTGCTTCTCGCTACTGTCTCAATTAACGCGAGCTTTCTTGCCCTCGTCCACCTTCGGTTGGCCGCATTGGCTCGAACAGGGCGTGAGAGGTAATTTGGTGCAACTTGGAGTATCTATCTGTCTGGTTTCGCCCAGAGGCCTCGAGTAGCTCGCAGCTGTGGGAGTGTGTCCTGGGCGACAGTTGGCCGAGGAATCCGCCGAGGCTGAAATTTGGTGTTTGGATTCGAAAGCCAAAGGTGAGAAAGACCACGGGTTGCTCAGCCTGCTTTGCCATCGTTACCAGCGCGCTGCGATCGCATGCGCCGAGAGATATACGGCCGACGAAACGAGTCGCAGGAAGCAGAGAGTGGCAACCGCGCTAGCATTCCTCCCTTCTTCGGTGCCGCAAAAAGCGAACGTTCAACTTTTTCGCGGTGCAGAAGCCCGAATCATGTTCTCGGGGCTTCGAATTCCATCCCGACCAAGCAAGCCGAGGGCAACTTCAAGGTCGACTGGCTCCACGTCGTGGCAACACTACCAGCGAAGCGGGCCAAAGCTGTCATTTCCTCGAGAGTACACCATGAATAGCGAACCTCGACCCGAGGTCGATCGCACGTTTCTTCAAAAGGGGACATTGAAGGAGGCGAGGTCCCGCCTTTGCTGTGGCCACCCTGCGTCAAGGGGTATTCGAGGCAAAGCGATCGACGTTTTGCGCCGAGTTGAACCCAAGCCACACGATTGAACACGATGCATCAGTGGCGACGGAATGCATCAGTGGCGACGGAATGCATCAGTGGCGATGGGGTGTACTCCCAACGGGAGGGAGTGCTCGTTAGCCTCCGGTGCCGCCTCGAGCGAGCTCGCTGCAAGACCAATGGCCACCATACAGTATTGAATGATTGATGAAACCGCCACCGTTGGCCGTTGACGCGCCATGTATTCGCGCGCCATATTAGTTTGCGGCTCGCAGTACTCAACGCCATGCCGCCAACGCACATGACGCCGCAGCTGCGGCGACAGCTCTCGGACGAAGCCCGTCGTCTCTTCCTCGAGGCCCACGCGTCACCGCCGACGACGCCGTTGCCGCGCGCGTTTCAGGACATGCGCTGCCACCTCCTCATCGAGTGCCGTGCTTCGCGGCGCTTGCTCGTGCAGCTCGTGGCGTCTGGGGGCTGCTACATGTTTC